AACGACGGGGTGGGGAGGGGGGGGGTCATTATTACATGTATTAGGCAGGGAATTTAATACCCCACCCCCTGGATCTTTAAGGGACAGCCCTACCTACCGTACATTGTCATCATGGTCATTTTATGTTTTTAAGCTGTTACTACTTTACTTGTTTGCACCGAATTCAAATAAATATGGAATGATCAACTAATATGACAAACATTTTGGATAAACACTGATAAAATTTGGATACTTGTATAATTCCAAGCATATGGAAAAACATATCCTAACTTCATCTGACTGTTCATGGTGTGTTATTACTTAACTTGTATTCATTATGTAAATTGTATATAAATTTTCTCTTTTCACGTTAAGTCTCCATTACGATCTTTATAATCACTGGTTACACTTGTAGACAAAATATTCCGGTTTCAAGGAAAAATATTTTCCCTTGTGTAAACAAGACACACAAAAGGACCTCCAAGGAAAGAATTTTTATCTGTATAGAGTAAAAACTGAGAAAGCTTAATCCACAGAATCAACATACATTTAAAATAAACTAGACCATCCAGAGCCCTTTAACTGACTCTACCTTATAAACAACCAATACTCCCCCAAGGGGCACCTAGGAAGGCATGTCAATTAAATGAAGACTCTCTGTAAACAAAAATAAACCCTCTATCTCAGTACTAAATCTCACTGGAGGATGATTTTGCAGAAAGAATGGTTTGTCTGTCTACAAAATTAAATCCACCTCCGAGTGCAATGCAAAACCTATTAAGAGGTGAAGATTCTAAAACTGTTAAGAAAAAACATCTGTTGTAAACTTTAACATTGTTAAAAGAATGTTCAAAGAGTTATACAAAGTGTAGCACTTATATATCTGTATTTATAATCTTATTCTTCCTTGATTTGTGCAAATGTGGGTTGGGTGGGGGATAATAAGAGTTTTACATTTCAAGTAACCCCAGATCCCCACAGAATACCTGGTGCACATTTTTATACTGCATATTCTAAATATACAAATGAGCTAATAATTATTGGCATATAAAAGGATTAAATAAATACACACTGTTTACATTAACCAGTATCTGCAATAATTCAGGGATTTATCTAGCTATTTTGTTTTACTACCGTTTTATATGTGGGGGTCATGAGAACAATTTAGAATCTACACTAGCCCAAGGATGCTTCCACATAAGATTCAGCTTTTCTGGCCCAGTGCCCCCCCGGAAAATATTTAAATAAATGGAGCAAAATCCTGCATTTTTAGATTCCCCACTTCTGAAGGCCATTTGTAGACCTTTACAAAGGCCACAAAAACTTCACTTCTTAGACAAAATATTAATTAACAAAAAAAAAAAAAATTAAACCAGGTCAATACTTTATTCAATTTTTTTCTCTCAATATCTATCACAAATCAATTCTGTTTTTCATGTTTCACTACTAACATTGTTTTTGTTGTTACTCCATTCTTCTGATCCATAGTGATATAAGCTCCGTCTTACTCATCTACACTTTTCTAAAAACATCTGCAATCCAGTACGTATATTTTGTCATCATGGACATGGCACATGTTTACCGATCAATATCAAATAGAAGCTTATATATTGTACTCTCTCTTTTCAAAGCGTTTGAATGACTAGGATGGTAAATTAGGATATGCTGTTAAACTTCAATCGGACAAAAACGGAAAATTCAATACGATGTTTTAAATATTCTTTTTAATCAGAGAATTTTCTAAATATAAAAGGGGAATTTTTACTTTTGGCATATAAAAGGATTAAATAAATACACAGTTTGATAAATCCCTGTAATTACAATGTTAATTGGATTAAAGGATTGACCTACTTATAGAAACAGGTGTTATAAACATTTGTAAATATTACACAGTTGTACTTGTACACTTGACCATAACATTAGACCCCTATAGACAGTAGCTCACAGGACCCCTGACTCTACCTGTTAAATTAAGTGGAAGGGGTACTCAAGGGGAGATAATCAGATTAGAATTAATGTTACATCAATATTGACATGCATGCCCCATTAATACAAACACTGTATGTAAAGAAAGCTTACTTAAAAGTAACAGTTAGGGCCCTGATGCTCTTTGATAAGTAGACCATATCCAGTTCTGATGTCCTGATATATACATTTTTTGTGTACATACCTACTGATTTACTTTTATGTTGTTTAGGGGACTTTGTGCATGTATGCATTTCATATTTTTGCCTTACTTAAGGAAATGGGCACTTAAAGTTACGACTTAATGAGAAATGGGGGAAAAAGTATAACATGTTCAAGATGGGGTTCAATGTCCTCTTTATACAATCATTTCTTAGAAAGAAAAAAATATTTCATAAAACAAACAAAAATTTTATTATCTCTGAGTTCATAAATAATTTTTTACCAAGAAACAGCAATATACTTTTAATCGAAAATTGTCCGTCCAATTAAAATTTGGTTTTTCTTTTTCCAAAAATAAATTTTTTCCCCCTAAGGACAAAATCCCTTCTCATAAAATGATTTCAACATCAAATGATAATATTACACTGAATGAGGTCACACTCAGCATTGACAGATGTTATGACCTGATACAAGTTCAAAAGACAACACAATAACATCATTTACATGATAACACAACATAACACACCCATGATTACATCGGAAACATCATGTCACTACTAACCATAGATCACCATCTGCTGGTCTTGAGCTGAAAGATTCGACTTTCTTATTTGAAAACTGATCAATGAATGCCTTAGGCTTTATATGTTTGCTTTTTCATAGCCTTGTGTTTGAAATATTTGCATTTTAAAAATATTTACCCTTGAATGCATGCATGATTATAACTTCCTGCTTGTGAATCAGATTTTATGCAGAGAGCTTTTACATTACGAACAAATTACATGTGAAGTTATGCAATGATGCACACATGCCAATTATAAAACAATTTTACAATTGTAATGACAAATACCCCTTAATGGTTGATAAAGCAATCCTGTTTCATAAGATTCTAAATTTTATTTCATTCTTTTATTAAATAATGAAACTTTACACTATTAGATGGTACGTGTATCAGCAACCTTCATATGGAAGTTCACACAAGCCATGGCTTAAACTCTTAATACAAAGTCATGATACACATCAGCACTGTCTGAATTCAAACCTGCGAATTATGAATGGGATTGTTTGGAATCAATTTTCACATCCGCTCACAAGAGTGAGTGTGTCAGTGTAAGCACCTCTAGCATACACTGCATAACAAAGGTTCAGTTAGCCCCTTTGAAAAGTAAAGTATTTGATTGACTTTTGCAATTTAAAATAATTATTTATAAATTAAATGTGGATGCAGCACCACACAGTGATTTTCCACTGTAGTTATGATAGAATAACCCACCCATCAAAACAGACCAAAAAAATTTGACTATTATATTTTGTTATATAACTCGCAAACGATTTCTACTTCCCTCAAACTTGATAATTAAGTATGCATTCCTAATTAACATACAGTGTATTGCACAACCTGCTGATAATAAAGCTTTATCATGTTTATACCGCAATACTCTAATTTCTCGCTCATATGAATTAAGATTCAAATATTCTAAAAACAGGAGATCACATTTCCCTATTCAACAGGCTGACTCAGATGGAAACCATGCATCTCAAAATCTCCGAACGAGGACAATTTATGTACACTGTGCATGCAGCGTGGTCATGATAAATATAAATATACTGCGTACATATATTTTACGCGCATTTCTCAAAAATATTTTACTTTAAAAAAAACAAAACACATTGTGATTTCACGTGAAGTGACATTGAGAAAGAATAAGATTCAGCCAGTGTATGTGCATTAGGCTTTATCAAAAAAAGGGAGCTGCATTGTGCAGTTAAGACATTTATGACTGGTACTTCAACACGCAGATCAATAAATTGATTCAACATTCTGCAAACTTAACCAACCTTATCAAAAAATAGACAGGCTTTGCAAATAAGGAAAAAAGAGTGTTTGAAAATAAACAATTTAAGTTTTAAAAAATATATTAAAATGAGATGCAGAATAATCATTGCGTGGCCAAGGACTTCCAGATTATTTGCTCCTAGCTCAAGTTTCTGATTTGTTTCATTATGGCCCCTTGAAGATCATCAATAAACTTGATAAATAGTATTAAGGAAACTGTTCAAAGGACAATATACTATTCTCATGGGTTCTTGACAAAGATATGATGAGCATTACACTCTTGTAACAGACAATATACCTGTATCTGTCTGATACGAGATTCAAGTACACAAATAATCATCGGATGTTTAACGAAGCCCAGGCCATAAATATTTGAAACAAAGGTGTAATTTCACATTCTCAACATGTTGTCAACATGGCATGCCTAAAGCATATGATAAAACCTTGAATTTCATATCCTTATTGACTGAACAGGTTGATAAATTGAAAAGGAAGAAATTCATTTACAATGACGACAATTGTCACACCTTTGTCATATTATTTTTTTTTTTTAAAAATAATTACAATTTGAAATTAAAAATTTAAGCAATCATCCCAACATGCTTGAATAGTTTGCAGGTTTTTGGACAGGTTTTAAAATAATTTGGAATTGCAATGGATCAGCTTAATAAAAAAAAAACTTAAATAAATAAACATCTTTTTCATGTTTAAACAATGGATTGTGACATTGAACTCTGCATGAATTTAAGGGGGAAAATAGATGAATTGATGCTTTGGTCATAATATTAACGACAGGTAAAAACTTCAAAAGTGGATGAAGAAGGAAAAGGGTTAAGGGGGGGGGGATAAAAGGGAGTGTGGGAGGGGGAGAGCGGACTCTGGGTGAACGGGAATTAGGGCGAATGGTGTCATTGATGAACAATTTTTAAATTGAATGGACATAGAACTGGGGGGGAGCATCTCTAACACCCTCAAACATCACAGAGAGTTATATGTCCAATTTTAACCTACTTTTAACACCAAGTTGTTGAGTTGACAATTTCTACCATACACCTACCTGCCAATTTCTCCCTTGATTGTGTATTTGTCTGTCAGTGTTTCTGTTTTGATGGCGGTGGAGGGTCGATATTTGGTCTCGTTGTTGGCCAGGCCTAGGGCAGAAACACTGTTGTGATAGTGCGGCGGCTGTCTCAATGCTATTCCATTCATTTTGTTGTCACAACCCTTGACTTCATACTACACCTTGATATTGTTTATTAACTTTTTTAATATAATCTCCTTGGAATGATCCACAGACAAGTTACCAATTTTTATATATTATTTTCCTATTTATCCACAACAGATATTATCAAATTCTTCACATTCCTCAGAAAATCGTTGAATAAACTTTTTCACACCTCGATCACAGGTGAAAACTGAACGGCACTTTTTCCACACCGTCTGATCGCCGACCCCCCTATCCCATGAGTATTCTTACAGTGTATTGTGATATATACTTATCTCTAATCCTTTCAATAAGATACGAAGCACTAACTTCACACAGAAACTTCTTTCGAAACGGAAATAGGACACTTCAGTTTAATGTCATGTTAAAACGAGGCTGTTTTTTAAAAAAATGAAACCAAGCACGATAACGATAAAGAATCCGGATTAGTCATTTTTGGAATGTGCATGAACACCTGCGGACACTAAATGACAAGATGGTGTCATTCTTTTAAACAAACATTAAATAAACCAAATTTTACTAATTTGCCAAGAATTTTTGACATATTCAACAACAAATTGCCAAAAGAATGCAATTATATTTTCTTTCTTTTTTCAAGGGAAAAGCTAGACTATTGTAGTTTTTTTTTCTAATTCACTCTCAATTATAAGCCTGGATGTTAAAAAAAAATTCTGTGTGATAAGTAATTTCTGTTTCTTTAATCAAAATACATGAAAATAATATTTTTGAGGGAAGATAGACTCTCGGTGGCATAGTTTCCGTCAGAGCATCCAAAACTGAGTTTAAAAAATAAGAAAGAATGAAAGACAGAAAAGAAAAGAAATAAAGAATATTTTTTTTATTTAAATCAATGAATAAATGCAATATTTGAAATTGTTTAACGATGGAATTAATAAAGCTGTTATAATATTATGATTATTTGTCTATATATTCAGATTATATTGTTCTAAGATTCCTAAATTTCCCTTGATATATCCATACCTCTCGTGAAAAAAATATATTGATAGAAATTAAGATACGTTATTAAGAGGGGGATAACGAAAGAGGTGATTTCAAGAGGTCACGGAAAATAGATACTATAATAGTATCTCAGTGGCCGTACGGATGTACACGATAAGTACGTAAACAGATAGATAGTGAAATGAGGAGGGTATTAAGCTATCTCTATATAGAATGAGATGTACGATATGTACTGTACGTACAGATAGATAGATAGTGAAATGAGGAGAGAATTAAGCTATCTCTATATAGAATGAGATGTACGATATGTACTGTACGTACAGATAGATAGATAGTGAAATGAGGAGAGAATTAAGCTATCTCTATATAGATGTACGATATATACTGTATGTATATAAATAGATTGTGAAATGAGGAGAGAATTAAGCTATCTCTATATATATATAGATGTACGATATGTACTGTATGTATATAAATATATAATGAAATGAGGAGAGAATTAAATTATCTCTATATAGATGTACGATATGTACTGTATGTACAGATAGATAGTGAAATGAGGAGGGAATTATAAGCTATCTCTACATAATTGTACTGTATGTATTGTACATATGTATACAGATAGATAGTGAAATGAGGAGAGAATTAATCTCTCTCTATGTAGATCTAAGATATGTACTTTTTGGTATTTTTTTTCAACTTTTTTTGACCGTGCTTTCATATATTATACATGTGTGGTCCAGAAATTTTTTTTCAAAAAAAATCCAATCCCAGAAATTTCAGAAATTTCTTGACAAGCAAAAAAAAAAAAAAAAAAAAAAAAAAAAAAAAAAACCTAAATTCGCTCAAACGTCAAAAACCTATTTCATATATGGTGACTTCTATTGCCTCATTGCCTCAATTCTTTCACTTTTCATACCCATTTCACACATATTTGCGTTTACCAGGGGGGTCGCCGTTTTCCAGGGGGGGTCCATGGTAACTTTTTTCTTCTTTTAGTATATACATTTTTTAACCTGGTAAATTCCAGGGGGGGTCCTGACCCCCCCCCCCCCCCCCCCCCCCTAGATCCGCGCATGTGTGTATACATCTTGACTGAAGACCTTTCTGTGGATGCAAATTGATATTTTTTTTATCTTGACCATAAATAACCAACAATTTTGACCTTGACTTAATGCAAAGGCATTTCATTTATACTCAAGTATTATTTTGGGACTAACAAGCGGAGTGAAAAAGGAGAATAATTTTAGAGGGAAAACTTATTAATAGCAAACAATCAGAATTTACAAAATTTTATTACATGACATTTTTAAAATTTTGCTCGTGACGTTTATTTTGTTTCGGTATATTTCTATTTTTTTTTAGAGAAAGATTTTGGTTATATTTTTGAAAGTTTAAAAAAAAAACGCTGCATGTACATATGTACATCAAAGCCTTGGGGATATGCATTTTTATCAAAAAGATATTCTGAAATTTTGTTGAAGTTTGACCTCTGCATAAGGCTCTGAAAATTTGCATTACATTATTAATCATTTAATTTGTATCTGTATATGGTACGTGTTTTTTTTTGTTTTGTTTTTTTTAATAATTATTTACAAAGTACCGAAAAATACACACATATCAAATTTATGGGATCACAACAATCCGGATTTCCGAAAATCACTGTTTGGAGTTTTAAATTAGCGACATTTCTCCGTTTCCAGTTATAACTTCAAAGTTCGCAATCTTTGTACTTCCCGAGACCAATATTTATTTTTCACGGAATCAGGCGAATGTCATCGAAAAAAATAAGTTCTGTTTTGTGTGCAAGGACATAAGGATATATTCCAAGTTATTTTTCACGCTATGCTGTAATTTGCATGTCAGTTTGATACTTTTGACTGTGACAGTGAACACAGTAAGCTGATCGGGTGTTGAGGTTCTGGGGAAAATAAAAAACACTTTTTTTGAATTCAAGTATATCCAATTATATCTAAAAAACTAAAAACAGAAATCTTTGTTTCTTTCAACTGCTTGTCAATTATTATAAGTCTCAATCAGTCAATGTGCTTGTTGAACTTATTAAAAAATACAATCTTATATTTACTATTTCCCTTTAAAATATCTGTTAATTCTTTCAAGTTGTTCATCTTTGAAGTAAATTTTTGGACAGTGAACATTTGACTGTATAATTGTTATCTTAATTTCAGAGACCGTTGGAAGAGTAGATTAATTACAGAATCATGTTTGAGTCGGGGCTTTTAATTTTGACACGTCCAGTTCCGATACTAAGAAAAAATGTACAGGACATACTCTCACGGGCAGCAAAAATAATCTCAAGTACATTGTACGTACATATCCAACCTAATCTATCCACGAAACTGGAACCTGACCCAGCCAGACTTCAGTTTGTTCCTCCTGACAGAAACCTCCGCTTGCTGATGACGGACATCTATTCCTCTAGTGCATCAGTGTGTGGAAACATGGACATTTATGTATTGCTGGGAAATATAACCAACCATCAAAGCCCGATGACAAAGTGTCGCTATAATCTTAGATCCAAATTAGAAGTTGTTCTCTTGGACAATAGTGATCAATTTACAGCGAATGAACAGTATTTTTATAAGTTTTTCCAGAACACCTTTCAAACATCTAACAACGACATTAAATTTCAATGTATTAGTGACATAGATTTCACACAGGAAATGAATTCTGAGGAGAATTCACACATACAGACATACAGACAGGTGGTTCTAGGTGGTACCTTTGATCGTTTACATGTTGGACACAAGATTCTCCTGGGGGAGGGGTGTTTACTGGCAGACGAGAGATTAACAGTGGGGGTCACAACGGGAGAAATGAATCTTAGTAAGCATCAATTTTAGTGCATTAACTATGTAAAATAATATTAACAGACATGAACTGAAAAATTGTTGTCCATTATTATAGTAATCACAGAAGTATTTCTGACTACGGGAACAAACACAGACTTTATAATGCTGTTAGTTCATGTTAAATTTTTATAAAATTCTAAAATGCATGTTTAAAAATCAAATACAGTATGTGTCATTTGTCATTACATGTACTATTAAAACTTTTAATCTTGTCTTTATAATTTTCGCAGAAAAATCTCTACCAGAGTTTATCCAGCCCACCACAGAAAGAATCAACTCTGTGGTGCACTTTATCGAGACAGTGAAACCACAGATCAGTCACCACGTGGTGCCCATCTCGGACATGTTTGGCCCCACCATCACTGACCCAGATTTACAGTGTATCATTGTCAGTGCTGAGACGGCAAGAGGGGGCGAGATAGTGAACCAAGAAAGACAGAAAAAGGTTGGAACCCACTTGTTTTTACCCGTTCTCCTACTGTAACATTATCTACTGTATATCCTAACCTAGCTGCAGATCTGTAGTGTTATGGTTTTATATATTTGTCTTTGACCATAACCCTACAGATCCCATAATGCAAAAAAGGTGCAATTTACAATGCAATATTTTTTGTGCACTTTTGGGGAGAATTTCTCCACTTTCTAGCATTGGTCAATCAACTACCTTTCACTTCCTAATTCTTAGTTAACACATTCTGTGGCCGATATGTTTATTTTATCCACCTCCCAACCATTTATAGTTGTCTGTACAGGAAATTAACCCGTTTGAAGTGAATTTTGAGCTATTTTAATCAAGCGAGTTTATCTCATATAGAGAAGATTATAAAGGGTTGGGAGATGGATAAAATATACCGATTAGTAAAATAATGTGCCTAGAATTAGGGAGTGAGAGGTAGTTTAATTGATCAATGCTGGGAAGTGGAGAAATTCTCCCCAGAAGTGCCCAAAAAATACGCAGTACAGTTAAGGCGCACAATGGAAATATCGACTAAATTTTGTATTTAAAAATGTATTCAAAATCGGGTTGGCGATTATTTTTAGTACATTATTTATATCGGATAATAGTAATTTTGATTAATGACTACATATCCAGGACGATTATGTTTTTTGATTAGACTATTCGCGTGATGCGCGGTCACGCGATTTTAGCACATTAAATTGAAGTATTGATGTTACATATAAATATCACTAGTGCAAGGGCATAACCAAGTTAAATTTCCAAGTTTAGCATATAAATATTTTCAACACGCATTGTTGTTCCTAAAAAGTGCTGCGATCCTGTCTAAATTTTGCAATTTTATTGTTAAAAGTATACTTGTTTGACCGAATGCTATATTTTTTGCTGGTCGGCGGCATGAAATATTGATATAATTAAATTGTTTTTAAGATTAAATTTGTGCACTTTTCAGATATATAGTTATATAGTTGAAATGTAAAAGCTTACTTTTTAAGTGTATGCCCTTGCACTAGATTGAAGACCCTCCACATTACCCTCCCATGTACTTGCATACAAATATACAACAGTGTCAATTAAATACGTAATGTACAGAAAATATATTAATAAAATTGTTAAGAAGACATTAAATTCAAGTTATTGGCCTATAGAATATCTGTAATTAACATTTTATTTTCAGAAAATATTATATCTATGTCTCACTGCATAATCCACGTTGTAAGAAATTTAACAAGTGTATTGCGATCAGTGACTTGTTTATAACTTGTTATGTGGGATTTAACTTTAGAATATTGAAATTTAATAAATTCAGTACATTCATTTTGTGGTATTTTAAAGGAATGTTGTGTGATGTATACTGTGTATGATGTCATAGTCAAGTTTTCCCGTACAAATTAGGCTCCGCCTCCTTTTTGTAACCTTAACTGTGCTGCGTATTGTGCTGTAAACTGCACCTTTTTTACACTATGGGATCTGTAGCATTATGGTCAAAAACAAATATATAATACCATAACGCTACAGATCTGCAGCTAATTTGAATCATAATAAGCTCTTCAAGGTGCTTTCTAGTTTCTTAAATTTGTGCTTATATGTATATAGTGTTAAACTTTAGAATCTCAAGGACCAATATGTCGTTCATGAGACAGGTCGTTATGTAGAATATTTTTAGTTTATAAGTTATTCCACAAGTTTAACATGGCCATTTAGAAATTGAAATTTAATAAATTCTGTTTTCAAGATATTGTTTACTGTATAAATACTTCTACTTGTTTTAGGGTTTTCAACAGCTAGATGTGGAACAGATTCATGATGGTCAATCCAGCTCATCATCGCTACGGAAACGGTTACTGGGAACAGTGATTAATCCAGTTAAGGTACTTCAGGATTTGTACTTAACTTCTATTTCCATTGTCCATGTGGGTTCCTTAAATTTTAATTTTAGGAGCCAGTAGGTTATTAAGCCTTATCCTAGTTATCAATTTAGTTGAATTTGTATAAAATGCATTTTTAGTGATCAAGCCATAAAAACCGGTAAATAATTATAGGTAGAAGTACTTTTCATGATTTGAAAACATCCCCTCTTATCGCTAAATGAATTATTAGCGTTATACAATTTTAGTGATCTTTGTTAGAGCATATGCTCTAGAGTCTCGGAGTAAGGAGTTGATCCTTATGTTATAGGTTCGAATCCCACTGTGGGATATAGAAACAAGTCCTTCAGATAAGACCGTATAAACTGAGGTCCTGTGTTCCAGTAGGTGCTGGCACAAAAAAGACCACTCCCTGCTCAGGGGCCCTAAGTGCCGAGTATAGGACAAAATTTGCAGTTCTCTACCGTCAAGTGGCGGGGTCTCCAGATGAGTGAAAAATTCTCGAGAGGGACGTTAAACAACATACAAATAAAAATATCCATTGCCAATAGAGCCAAAATTGAATTCTAACTAGGAATCCTTCATTCAAAAAAAGAAAAATTAATGATGGAAATTAAGCAATGTTCAGAATAAGAACAATTTTCAAATGAATTAGAAGTTCTCATCATGCAGTATTTATTAGCTGATGTAATGTATATAATTTTGATTTTCAGGAGAACAGGAACATTCCGACTTCTCCCTACGTTCTGGGTGTGACGGGGGGTATAGCTAGTGGGAAGTCAGCCATTTGTAAACGACTAGAGAAGCTGGGTGCAGCTACAGTGGACTGTGATAAACTAGGTATAAATCCTGCATGATTTTAGAAACAGAAAAAAAAATATACCAGTATATTCATCAAACTCTCAGTTTACAGTTCACACTGCCTCCCCCCCCCCTAAATAATAAAAGGTCTTGGATAGTGAACAATCAGAGTCTACTTTCTTTTAATTTGATACTTGTATCTATCTTTTCAGGTCATCAGGCCTATGTAAAAGGCACTCCTGGTTACGATAAAGTTGTCAGTACTTTTGGTACTGGGATTCTTGGGGAGGATGGGGAGGTAAACAGAAGAGCCCTGGGAGCCATTGTTTTCAGTGATGAGGTAATTTTTCCAATTCAGCCTTCATGAGAGAAATGAACTACAACAAACTTTTAATGTTTTTTATGGCTACTACCTAGGAATGACCGAAATATTTTTTTCATATATTTATATTCTTCATCTCAGGCAAAAATGCAAACCCTAAATGGAATTGTTTGGCCAGAGATTGCCAGGATGGCCACGGAGGAGATCAGGCAGTATGGCAAAGGTTTTTATTTTTTCTTTTTGGACATTAAAAAAGTTATATTTTAATTAATTTTTGAAAAAAATATTCATATGTATCATATCTTATCTGAATCAAATAATCTTGAATTACACTAACAAAGTATCAAATGTGTAAAATGTTTTGTGAGAAGTTACATCATTGTTTTTCAGAAGCTCACAAAATTTTATTACGCATTTTCTTCAATCAGTATCCGGAGTGTTAACAAAGAGATAATTTAACAATTTAATAGATAGTATATATGTAAGACAGTCACTCCAAAGTCCGATGGTCTCGCCAAACCCCGATGGTTTTTTGTTGATACGGATGCCAAAGTCTGATGGTCTGATGGTCATGCCAATGCCCGATGGGTCATTTCCTATGAGACACACTGCGCTAAAGTACGATGGTCTGACACACCAAAGTCCGATGGTGTAATCAACGTTTTTGACTTCACAATAATTTGACGTCAATCCAATTATATTGCCATAATTTCAGAATTTAGCCTTGCATACGCTTTTATTTATTTATTTTTTTTGGCGTATTGCTTACATATTTCAGAGATATTAGGATAAGTCCTTGCACACCACTCAAGATTATAGTCCTTTTAGTTGCTTTGATTTGGGTTAGTCCTCGCACACTAGTCAAGTTATTAGGGTTAGTATCGCAGCCACCCAAGATATCAAGATATCTATATATATACTTCGAGCGTGGACCTTCAGATATCACAGATAATACTTATTTAAAACCCATGTGGCATATTTGGCACATGCTTCATAAACGTTAATCCGTACGATTTTTCATCGGAACAGAATTCCTCAATGTTATTTTGTCTTGTTTAACTGGTAATTCAGGTATCCGGAAACTTCACATTTCCGGACAAATTTACTGGGAACCAAAGCGTCTGGATAAATGAGGCTCCACTGTTTATAAGTATTTTTCTTTCTACTTTCACTTTTGTAGAGGGTAAGACAATCGTGGTATTAGAGGCAGCCATTCTACTTAAGGCAGGCTGGGAGACCATGTGTCATGAAGTTTGGGGGTGTGTCATTCCTTTGGCAGAGGTACGATGAAATTAAAATAGACAAATTAGAGATACAGTCCAAACTAGTTACTTGAAATTCTGTGGGTCTTGTGAAAATCTCTGTGATATATAGGGTAATTTACTTAAAGAATCAATGGTTGGGATTTTAGAATGACTTCAAAAAAACCATGGTACTTTACCAAAAAAAAAAATGCAATAAGAGTAGATGTAAAGTAAGACATGCATACTGTACATGGCATATTAAGGCTTATTGTAACTAAAATGGAGTCTTTTTGTTTAAAAATAAAATTAAAATTCTGAATTAAATGATTGACAAAATTTAATGTATTTTCATGTTGGAAGGGAGATTCACTATAACCAGGCTTTATTGTACATACTTGTATATACAGTAAAACTTACCTTATTTGGATGTTGAATATTTTGAAATCCTGCCTATAACAGTGTAGTTTTTACAGTCTATATTTAATTTTTTTTAATCCGACATGGAATTTTATCTGACAGTCAATTTCTATGTAACAACTCACTAGATTAAGCAAGTTTTACTGTACATAAATTATGTACACTAGTTAATATTTATGCCCTTTGCTAACTCTGCAGGCCGTCAAGAGACTGGAGGACAGGAATCACTTATCTGAGGAGGAAGCTGTGAAAAGAATAAAACTGGGAGTGACTAACGAGGAACTCGTCAACAGGTGTAATGTCATCCTGTGTTCACAGTGGGAATACGAGTACACTCAACAACAGGTATAAAGCTGAGCTTGTCATGTAATGTAATGTCATCCTGTGTTCTCAGTGGGAATACGAGCACACTCAACAACAAGTGAGCTGAGTTTGTCATGTAATGTAACGTCATTCTGTGATCTCATTTGGAATATGAGTACACGCAACAACAGGTATAAAACTGAGTTTGTCAAGATATGTAACTTAATTCCGTGTTCACAGCGGGACTATGACTACACTTAACAACAAGTGAGAAGTGACTCATCCATATAAATTCCTCATAATTTACGTAACATTCAACAATATTTTAGCTGTATCTTGATTGTGAATATTGCTACTTATTTCTTTGATATCTAGTGTGTTGTATGCATGTACATGTATTTTCTATACATCACTGTTGACCTTACATTTCTTTCATTTTAGGTTGAGAAAGCCTGGCACCTTCTTCAGGAGAGACTCCCATCCTCTGTCAAGTCTCAGTACTGAAGTCATTCCACTGATGGGCAACATTAAAAAACAATTTTTTAAAAAAAATTTCTTCTGACAATAAAGGAAACCAACTTTTACGCGCAAGCAACTACACATGTATGTCCGCCAGTTTTAAGAATTTTTTTCAGTCATTGCTGGATTTCAAACTGAAGAATCCCAAATGAAAGATGTCAAAAATAATTATAGTTGGTTTTCAATATATATAAATGATATAATTTCCATAAATTTTAAATCAGAATGGACAGATACTAGCCAAATAAGATTTGGTGAGGAAATATAGTTAGATGATCATATAATGAAATTAAGGCAGTATTTTTATACTTTTGTATGTTGTGAAATTGTGATGAAAAAGATGAGATAATTCTACTCAGGAAGTTAACTCTACCAAGGGGAGATAATGCTGTTAAGTAGATAGAGATAACTTTGCTAGGGGAGTTAACTTTAGCACAATAATTAAACTTTAATAAATCAATGTTTTGTAACTTAACAAATATTCCAGTATCATTGACTTTGTGTAAATTCTGGTGTGCATTCATTTGCATATTTCATTTATTGAGTACAGGTCTAATTTTATCTCAGTCTGTTTTATTCTTAGAAAATTATCCTATATGTACTGTAAATCACTTTTCATTCGCGAAAACTTTATTTTCACGTAATTACGCGAGACAGTGTGCTCGCGAACATTAAATTCTCGCATATAATAGTATTCCTTAAGATTATATAGAGCAATAACCACAATTCGTGAAAATTTTGTCTCGCTAATCAAGAGTCAATGACTATCTCGCGAAAATAAGGTGTCGCGAAAATTTAGTGATCTACAGTATATTGTAAGCAGATTGATTTTCTGTTTTGAAAGCAGCAATATTTTTAAACAAATTGTGCTAGAAACAAGAAAACAAATTTCAAAGCATCAGTATAAGTGTAGTAATGTAATTTTACATATACTAGTATATATAAAGATTGTACTGAATATGTAACATTAAAATGGATTATGAATCCTTTTCTTTTGTCAGTCTGTTTTTTTACCATGATCCTTCTTAAGCATATTAAGGTGGAAGAGAAATCCTTAATTTGTATGTAGGGCACGGAAAGAAAAGATCAAGCATTCTGGGAGTATTACATTAACAATGCTAGTCCTCTACCTGCAAGTGTAATTTGATTCCCATTAAATCTTGAAAAGCCATAAAAATAATCATTGATTGATTCTATGTTGATTCATGTCCCATTTGAGAATTTTTCACTCATTTTGAGCTGTCTCCATGTTCATGTACTTGTGAAAGTTACTCGGCACTCAGGGCCCATGAGCAGTGAGGAATCTTTTTTTTGCCAACTCCTGCCATGACACAGGCCTCGGTTTTTAAGGTCTCATCTGAAGGCCCCCCCAGTTTTCACTTTAAAGTCCCGAGCACTTAACAAAGCAACAGGTGCAACTTTTTTTAGGTCACCTGAGTCACTCAGGTGACCTATTGCTATCTGTTTTCGTTCGTCGTCAATCGGTCGTAAACTTTTGAACATTTTCAGCTTCTTCTCTGCAACCACTGAACCAATTTCAACCAAATTTTGCACAAAGCATCTATGGGTGAAGGGGAACAAAAATTGTGAATTTCATTATCCCTGCCCCCCTGGGGCCTGGGGGGTGGGGCCAAAACCACTTAAATTAATGCAATCTTTAAAAATCTTCTTCTTTACTCCTGGACATCAAGCAGTCAAACTGTTTGCATGATTGTAATCAGCATTGAGTCCTCTACCAAAATTGTGAAATTCATGGCCCTGGGGTCAGGGGTTCTTGTGCTAGGGTGGGGCTAAATAAGTATATAGTGAAAATGCATTATTTCTTTGAAAATCTTCTTCTCTGCTCCTGGGTATTAAATAAACTAACTAAGTACATAGTTATGATGAGCAAGAGTGCCTCTACCAAAATTGTGAATTTTATGGCCCCAGGGTCAGGGGTTCTGGTGTTAGGGCGGGGCTCTATTGATTATATAGTGAAAATACATGAAATCTTTGAAAATCTTCTTCTCTGCTCGTAGGTATTAAATAAATTAACTAAGTGCATAGTTATGATGAGCAAGAGTGCCTCTACCAAAACTGTGAATTTTATGGCCCCAGGGTCAGGGGTTCTGGTGTTAGGGCGGGGCTCTATAATATTGATTATGTAGTGAAAATGCATTATTTTTTGAAAATCCTCTTCTCTGCTCCTGGGTATTATATAAACTAACTAAGTACATAGTTATGATGAGCAAGAGTGCCTCTACCAAAATTGTTTATTTTATGGCCCCAGGGTCAGGGGTTCTGGTGTTAGGGCGGGGCTCTATTGTTTATATAGTGAAAATGCACGAATTCTTTGAAAATCTTCTTCTCTGCTCCTAGGTATTAAATAAACTTACTAAGTACATAGTTATGATGAGCAAGAGTGCCTCTACTAAAATTGTTAATTTTATGGCCCCAGGGTCAGGGGTTCTGGTGTTAGGGCGGGGCTCTATTGTTTATATAGTGAAAATACACAAATCCTTTGAAAATCTTCTACTCTGCTCCTAGGTATTAAATAAACTTACTAAGTACATAGATATGATGAACAAGAGTGCCTCTACTAAAATTGTGAATTTTATGGCCCCAGGGTCGGGGGTCTGGTGTTACAGCGGAGCTCTATTGATTATATAGTGAAAATACATGAATTCTTTGAAAATCTTCTTCTCTGCTCCAAAGTATTAAATAAACTAAATAAGTACATAGTTATGATGAACAAGAATGCCTCTACCAAAATTGTTAATTTTATGGCCCCAGGGTCAGGGGTTCTGGTGTTAGGGCGGGGTTCTATTGATTATATAGTGAAAAAACATTAAATCTTTGAAAATTTTCTTCTCTGCTTCTGGGTATTAAGCATATGAACTACCTATATAGTTATGAGCAAGGGCCCTTATCTTCCAGAATTGTGAATTTCAAGGCCCCCAGGGTCAGTAGTACCATAGAGGGAGAGGGGTCTGTACTTATATACTGAAAAATAATGAATTGTTTGAAATCTGCTCCTTGGTATTAATCAAATACTTCTGAAAAGCAAGGATGCCTTTTCAAAAATTGTGCAATGTGTTTATCTAGGCCTTAGAGTCAAGGGTTCATGTGTGGTGGTGGCACTACTGATTATTGCTGAGTATTACTGATTTGTTGAAATGCATTTTTGTTCCCCTACCCTGCCTATGGGTATTAAGTAACCAAACTAAGCAACTGCTAAGTGTATAGTTATGATGATCAAAATTGTAAATGCTCTAGCATCTGGCTTAAGCCATGGATGAAATTCAATCATTGGAAAGTTGTTGCATAACGCTCAGGTGACCCATGGGCCTCTTGTTTTATCATGATCTTGGGTCAGAGGCTGCCAAGATTTGAGGCCTTCCTGTCATAAAGTTAAAATCATTGAAGGGAAATAAAATGCAAATTTAAATTGATCTGTCACTCATCAACAGAACTCTAATTCATATGTGAAAAATCAGCTCAATAACTATAAGCTTTTAGAAAAATAAGTGCAGAAAACGAAGTTGGACAGACAGTCATTGGCCCCTTGAACAGAATGAATGTTTGTTAGTACCCACCAAACACCTTATTCCACTAACAGAAATTTCAGTTGTCCTCTTAAACATTCACTCTATGGAACAGGCTTCAATTCTACAAAATATACCTACTTTTTATAACAATATTCATACTCATGAACTTTATCCAAGAAAAAAATTAAGTTTGATTTTAAAGTTTTATTGACATTTTTGTATATTTTTTTGAAGAAATGAATCTTAATATGGCAGAATAATCTGTGAAATACAAAAGCAATGGGACACATTTTATAATCTTTTTAAATTTCAAATCACAACTGCTTAATGTGGATTTTCTTCTTTGATTGATGGTGTGATGAACAAGTCAGACTTTATAACATTGTCTTTTAACCTCAGTCCAGAAGTCAATAATTCAAAGTTGCTTTCTGCTCTGTATTGCCAATATATACTGTATACGCATTTACATCAGTATCATCGTACAATTTAAATATTCTGTAACAAATTACACATTTTTCCTCTGTCAGCTCTCTGCACTAAGCCTGGAGGTGTGATCTACGGTTGAACATTTGCATTGACAGCCGGTCACGGGACATTCCGAGTGTTCCGCAAACCACTCCCACAAATGGGAGGCGTGGCCTCCATGGCGACATGATTGGCACCACGTAAACCAATCATCAATGGCTGTCATTTTGGATGCATATGCTGAAAGGGAAAGATGAAAATACAGTTTTCAATTGTTTCAAAACATAGTTGACTAGTATTTTAAAGACTGAATTTATTAGCTATCCATGTTTTATTGACAGTTTAACCTAGGTTGAAGAGAGGGGTTGAAAAAAACATTAACTGTTCCAACTGAGCTAGCTTATTCCAGTATAGATTTTCAATTTATTCCTTATTATTTTGTTTTCCATCATAAAATTAAAGAAAAATTCTTCTGGAAAACTGCCTTCATATTGTACTTATTTTAAATGCAATGTCAACTGGATTGATGTAATTGTGAGACCCACCGCATTATGATACACTGTATTCACTACTGTATGCAGGGTAATTTTCGCCCTGTGTTATTTTCGCCCTTTTGAACTTGTGAACAATTTTGCCCCGTTTTGAATTCGCCCAGTCATAGTTCTGCTTAAGAAATTATGAGGTGTAATTTGAATTCGCCCCATTTTAAATTCGCCCAATCAAGGAGAGGGCGAAAGGGGCGAAAATAAAACAGGGGAGAAAATTTCCCTGTATACAGTATTTTCTATATCCCAGCAAATTACATGCTACAACCTAATTACATTATGCGCAGATAGATTAAAACTGTAGAGTGTGTACGGATTAGACCTACTTGTTTTATCTTTTTGCGTGTAGAGAGTGTGTAGGGATTAGACCTACTTGTTTTATCTTTCTGCGTGTAGAGAGTATGTAGGGATTAGACCTACTTGTTTTATCTTTCTGCGTGTAGAGAGTGTGTAGGGATTAGACCTTCTTGTTTTATCTTTCTGCGTGTAGAGAGTGTGTAGGGATTATACCTACTTGTTTTATCTATCTGCGTGTAGAGAGTAAGTAGGGATTAGACCTACTTGTTTTATCTTTCTGCGTGTAGAGAGTGTGTACAGATAAGACCTACTTGTTTTATATTTCTGCGTGTAAAGAGTGTGTAGGGACTAAACCTACTTGTTTTATCTTTCTGCTTGTAGAGAGTGTGTCGGGATTAGACCTACTTGTTTTATCTTTCTGCGTGTAGAGAGTGTGTAGGGATTAGACCTACTTGTTTTATCTTTCTGTGTGTAGAGAGTGTGTAGGGATTATATAGACCTATTTGTTTTATCTTTCCGCGTGTACAGAGTGTGCAGGGATTAGACCTACTTGTTTTATCTTTCCGCGTGAAGACAGTGTGTAGGGATTAGACCTACTTGTTTTATCTTTCTGCGTGTAGAGAGTGTGTAGGGATTAGACCTACTTGTTTTATCTTTCTGTGTGTAGAGAGTGTGTAGGGATTATACCTACTTGTTTTATCTTTCTGCGTGTAGAGAGTGTGTAGGGATTAGACCTACTTGTTTTATCTTTCTGCGTGTAGAGAGCTGTGTCGTGATTAGACCTACTTGTTTTATCTTTCTGTGTGTAGAGAGTGTGTAGGGATTAGACCTACTTGTTTTATCTTTCTGTGTGTAGAGAGTGTGTAGGGATTAGACCTACTTGTTTTATCTTTCTGTGTGTAGAGAGCTGATCCCGAGGGAGTACCAAGATGCATCAGACACAGAGAACAGCGGGGGAGGGGCTTCCTACACCCCGGGCAGCAGGACACCTACAAACGAAAGGATTAACCAGTCATAAAATACTGTAAATCACTTTTTATTCACAAGAACTTTATTTTATCGTAAATATGCGAGATGGTATAATTTTATTCTCGCGTATAATATAATTTCTTAAGATTATATAGAGCAATGACCTCAATTCGTGAAAATTTTGTCTTGCTGATAAAAAGTTAATGACTAATCTCGCTAAAATAAAGTGTCGTGAAAATAAAGTGATCTACAGTAAAACAAAGACTGTTCAAAACTTGTTCAGCATGATTGGATATATTTAAATACTATGACAACTGATGAATCAAATAATTTTAGAAAATTGATTTTTTTGTATGAGGTGGGGGATATGAAGTAACAGAAATGGATAATTTCTTATATTTTTTGTAAGAGGAAGAGAGCCGTGTAATTGATTTTTCAGGAAAAAAATCAAGTAAATTAAGTTAGAAAATAATTATTTGCTTTCCTCTCTTCATGTCAAGAGAGAGAAGAAAATGAATTGTATGGGTGGACTGGGGATTGAACCCTGGACCTTTCATCAGATGCCCTACCAGCTGAGATACCAAGGCCATGAAAATCCACACACTGAACCATTCTTACATGAAACAGATATTCATGAATTAAACATTATACACCATACATATACACCTTCGTACCTTTGGTTTAGTGGAAGTCAGTGTTCCTGCTGAGTACGAGTTGTATGGTCGCGCTCGACTGGCCACAGGCATGTTACAAGCGATGGATTTACCACAGAAGTTACAGCTAACGAAGGCCTGAGATATGACTCGGAAGTTATCGCTGGCATGCCAGATAATATCAAACTTAGACCTGTACAAAAACAAGCAAGGCTTATAGGAAGCTATCTTAATTTTTTTCTAATGATTTAATTTAATTTTAAATAACAAAATTTTAATTATGTTATAGCCACATGAAATTTATTGCAATTTGAAAGTAACAAATTAAATATTACAGAAATTTCTATTCAGTATTGATCAAATTTTACCTGTGATGCCAAAGTCTCCATCGATCTAACAGTTCTCTGTACCTTTAAAAGAAAAAAATACTGAAACATAATTTTTAAGAATGCTTTTTACATACATATAGGTATGGTAATGTTTTGTTAAAAGGGAATGAATCTACTATCTCAGGAGAGATAACTCTTTCATGTCTAGAGGACTTTTCTCCCCTGAATTGTCTAAAAATATTATACATGTGTACATGACTGTACATGTATATACGTAGTGCTTACGATTCAATCCAGTTAAGAACTCTTTCGTCTTTGGACATTTCGTTTGGGAGTGAGAAGACACAGACGAGTGCTGCGGTTTGTACATCACCAGTCAGGTCCACGTACTTAGATATCAGAGAGACACCATCCTGTGTTAAACCTACAAGGATTTTATAGTGAAATCACTAATTTTCAGAGAAGATTGATTTTCATAAAATTATGTCCACCACGAAATGGTAGAATTTTATGACAAGATAAGATTACTCTTCCTCTGCTACAAAACTATTTTTTTTAAACCAAGTAAAAAATTTAACCTCCACAAAAATAAATCATTTCACAGTTACTGTATTTCTCTCCAAAATTCATAAAAAGATGTTCTGTGCTAAAGCTTCTTGATAAGAGACTTCTATAGGAATAAGATAAAATCTGGGAATATGATTAAAGTCTGGGAAATGAGAGTCTATAATGACATCATGCAGGTCTTGTATTTTGAACAAAATCTATAATAGACAAAAATTTTAGGCCATGCAAAATTAATTCCTGAATTGGTTCTCAGGCCTTTTTTCAAGGAATATGATGAGGGAGGGAGGCTTTTTTTAATTTATACTTTTTTTATTGCCCCCAAAACATGATAAGGCTTTTTACATTGCACAAAACCTCAACAAATGATGAGGTATGTGACTTTTTTTATTTTATTGGTTTAGGCTATCTAAATTTAATTCCCTGGTTCTCAGGCCAATTTTCTCCAAAACCGATGCAGGAGGGCGGCATTTTATTTATCATTTTATTGGCAATAAAGTAGATGAGGGAGGTATTTTTTTTTATTTTAATTCCCGAATTTTCTTTAACATAAAGATTTAATCACAGATATACTTTCCACTTCTGGTCAAAATTTCTGCTTTATCCATTGCTTAACAGCATGTAAACATCGTAGGTAATGTCCTCGAATGTATTTTCAAACGAAGACGAAGTAGCCAAAATCTCATTGTAAATGGCTAGCGGAAGTGATATTTGAATACTAAACTACGAAACAAATGAGGTCGGGATTTTTTTTCCCGGATTGGTCTCCACAATACCAACTTTTTATTTTATCAAAAATACAATAAAATCGGCAATGCGGCTACCTCAAAACGGATGCGCGCGGGCCTGAGAACCAAGATTTCAATTTTATATGGCCTTAGCAATAAAAAGGGTCAATGAGGCACCCTTGGAAGACATGAGGGAGGGCCCGAGAACCAAGAAATTAATTTTTATGGCCTTAACACAATATCTTATTTTAAACAAAATTATAAAACATAAAAGGTATACTGTAAAAGCACAAATATTTGTGGGGGATTAAATTTCGTTAATTTCGTTGTTAGCCATTATCAACGAAATTAAATCCCACACGAAATTTTATATGAGTATATATTGAATAGGGGTACTTTCAAAACAACGAAATTAAATCCTCATGAAACTATTCTAGATGACAAAACAACGAAATTTTATCCCCACGAAAATTTGTGCTTCTACAGTATTTTCCTAGAGAGAGTTATTTCATATACAGTTCAAGAGACAAAAAGCTAGAATATATCCTCATTTATTCAAAAATAAAAAAGAAATTACCTCTAGCTAGAATGAAATTTTTTTCCCAGACATAAACAATCTTTTGGCTATTATGAGATACACAAACCTGTGATAAGTAAACCGTCTAAATTTCCAGCCTCTATAACTTTCCTTGTTATTCTGTTGATGTACTCTTTTAACTAATAAAATAAATAATATATTAATATATCATATGACTAAGTTGTTTATCAATTGAAAAATAACTTGATTTTGTACATGTATAATGCCAATGAATAATTTTTTTGACATATATTTAATACATTGTACATAATTTGACATATATTACATAATTCAAAATAAATTTTTTTAGATTTTAAATTTTCACAAATACATGTATGATTTTTAATTCATACAGATATAGAAGTTTTTTTTTTCTTTTCTACAATATAATTGTTTTTCAATAACTTGATGATTTTATTTATAATATATAAATGAACACCAATCAATTTTTTTAATGTAAGTTTACATAGATACCTTATCGTCATCCAGGTATATACAGGCAAAGGCAATCTTGTCTGAGAGCTGCATGCCACCTTGGTCTGTCTGTGTAAAATATACAGAGAGATAAAATTACCTAAATATATGAATATTAACATCAGGCCAGCTTTAAAATGAAGTTTGCTTGACCTCTCACAACTCTGGGTAAAATCATTGGGTCGGTGGGAAGGAGGGAAATTTTTTCCCCAGAAAATTTCAACACATTTGTTGATGAAATAAGATGAATAAACAGAACACAGGAAAAAAAAATTGTGTCCTGGAATATAAAAAAAAAGTTTTAAGTCAGGCCCTTTTAGTCAGTTGGTCATGAGAGGCAACCAAATAATTTTTTAAAGATGGCCTTACCCAGATACAAATGTAATATATTCATGCAGTCTGATAAAATTACCTAATATTTAAATAACAGTAACCCTAAATATATAAAGAAAATAGAACCCAATTATTCAGAAACAATTACCAAAAGCATTTATTTAATAAAGTTACCTACAAAGTGAATGTACAAAGTTACGTACTAAATATAAAAAATAAAATTGCTCAAATTAAAAGATAAACAAATTAAACCTTATTTGTAAAACAAAACCTTGTAAAAAAAAAAATAAGATTATCTGTAAAGTGGTTACATGTGTTGTTCATTATAATCATGATAATACACAATACTGTACATGTATTGTCATGATTCTGAAATTGGTGAACTATATAAAGTAGTTCAAGTTCATAAGTCTATGTAACTGTATCCATGCTAGATATCACTTTTTTCCCATTCAATTTTAAAAGAATTATTAAGCTAGTAAGTGAGAATTTATGTAAAGAAATGCATCCAGCAATTCTGGAAAAAGGAAATAAAGCAATATTTTTTTTTACAGTACCATAATAATTGAGATGAAAGATTTTTTTTGCCATATAAAATATAAACAAAACTATAATTTATACTTTTTTTTAATACAAAAAAGTTCTGTATTACTTCACACAAATACATGTAATGTTAATTTTTCTTTTTTTAAAGCTAGTTTAATGATTTTTTTTTAGAATTTTAAATCCATGATTATAATATTCATCGGCTATATATAATTTATTATAATTATATGACTTTTAACTTGGTCAATGAACACATAAAAAAATTATATAAAACTGCATCTTATAACATCTTGATATTATATAGCCTTGAAATTACTTGATAAATTAATCAGAATTCTGAATTGTGCATTAATTTTGATTCAATTTCATACAAAATAATAAAAATTAATATCAAATTAATGCAGACTATTGCAGCCACTACTGTATTTTTCCCCTATTAAATAATAACTTAAAACAAAATGTTAATGATCTCTTTTCAAGTACATTTTAAAAGCTTAACATAAAAGAATTGAGATTAAAAAAAAGAAGAAAAATATGTTGATAAAATCTTAAGCATGGCGCAGTATAAAATATTCAGCTACATTGTAATTGTGCAACAAACCTTCTTCCATCCATGTTTCTATGGATACGAAAATTAAACAAAGATGTAAATCACTGCATATATAAATTTTTGAAAAAATAATTAACAAAAGCAAATTTGGACTTGGATATCTTGAACATATTATTTCATTTAACAATAAAAATATGTCCAAGTGATGTTGTTGCAGTTCCAAAAACTATTTATAACATTTTTTAGTCATTATCTTCAAGTTGAATAAAATCTTCATTTTGGAAGTTTAATCATGATCCTGTGGATTTCCAGATAGCAAGGTTATTGACTGTTATTCAAAATATTGGACCTATACCATTCCTGTTCATATTAAGAGCCAGTCTGCGAGAAAACCATGCAAAATTCAAAAAATCGTCCAAATGGAAGGTTGCAACTTGGGAATTTTAAGTGGCTTAAAATTTTCTACATAAAGGTAGAAGTCAGAATATCCACCAAAAAATGTCGAACCCTGCATCTATTTTTAGTAACAGCTCATTTGCATATTTGTCGAAAATCACACAAAATTTAATGGAAAATGTATACAAATTGATCAAGTCAAAAAGTTACCTTTTGTCATCAGTTTACTTTCAAATTTTGTTTTATTTTCAAAGTCATGGTCCAATTAACACAATTAATGAGGAAAAACTTAATTCAAATAAATATTTTATTTTTTACACATCTATTTATAGATCCTAAATAAATGAGTATGATTTTTTAGCCATTTTTAGATGCTCATTTCTCTCAAGACCAAGGTTGAAATTAAATTAAATTAATTGTTACTTTAAAAATGATCTAAGGTCTAATCTGTATTAAAATTTTGAGCTTGGGAAATAATATCTACATGTTGTAAATTAACTTTGAAATACCATATTTTGCTACAATTTCACATCTTTTAAATAACAGACTTTTACCATATTTTTGGATTATTTCTATGATATTTAAATGAAAAAGAGAAGATTCTTAATCTAATATATTTTTTAGAAGAGGAATAACTGATTTGAATACTTCATATAACTTTCTTTTGCTTATTTTAGCCCCTTGTTACCAATATGATGGAATTAAATTGTTATCTCCCCTTGTTGGAACTCTTTTGTATTATTGGGTAAAAAGTGACAGGTATGTCAAAATGGAAAGAAGTTATGTATGATCATTTTTTTTCACATAGGAAGTTGTTGTGGAGCATTATTGCACTATGAAATGGAAAAAAACTTATTTTAAAATATTTGAATGTAAGAAAGAAACAACAACTTAGCTTGAATAAACAAATAACAGGCCCAGAGGAAGCAATTTCAGTGTGGGGAGGGGGGACAACCTACATTATCAACTACCAAGAATTCCATAGAAAGTAAAAAAAATAAAAGGTCATCAGATGTTTGTTTTTTTTATTTTAGGCATTATACATGTAGTAGCTATGTTTTCTATAGGGTTCTCTCCTCGGGGAATCTACATACATGTACATGTATTTCATGGTAATTAACAGTTACAAAATTTTTCCTAACAAGTACAATATTGAATAAGAAATTAAATCAAATAATAACATATTTTTAATCAAAATACACTTTTGATATTTTGTTGAAGGCACCTGGCCCCGTTAAAGTTTAAGATCATTTTATTCACTCAAACCATTTCAGGTACATGAGGACAATGAAGAATATATTAACAACATATAGATTCAGGTCAGAGGTACAAGTATATGGTATACAAAAGGAAAAGAAAAACACATATGAAACATATAATAATGAAATAACGAGAGGAAAATCATAGAGGACTCACTAACTAAAATCATATATTTTCAATATAAACGTACGTATTTTTCTTAGTGTCTTAGCAACTTGTTTTGTCATCAGTTGAGAAAATATAAGAATACAAACAGGTATTTGATTGCATACTCTCAACAAATTCAAAAATAATTGGTAATTTCAATCTACATGTAAATTGTTTTACGTTTCATAAATTTAATGTGTTTTTAAGTTTAACCAAACACCGTCATTCCTAAGCATATTTTTAATTTTACATTACATACTTTAAACTACTGTGTTACGTAACATTCATATATTGATAAAGTCAGATCTCCCATTAAAAATCATCAGCTCAAAAGGAGATGCCACCGATTTAGGTACCCCATCAATATAGGACCCTCCACGATAAATATCTGGCAAAATTTAATGTGACAAACCCGTTTCCCCCCCCCCCAAGAAAACATGAGTCGTTACTGCAGCCAAAACTGTGCTAGTTTGCAGTACAAAGTGGTAAAAATTTAAAACTGGCGACAAACATGATAAAAGACTGAATTCATATTCAGTCATTTAGGGAATCACCCCGCATTTCGCGACACTCGGTAATTTACCTTAATTAATTCGTTAATTTGCTATCCTTCTCGAAGAAAATTTCCGTGTATAAATGTTGCAGAATATTTCTCATCGATGTTGTGGCGTTGTTGGTGGATGAAATTTAGCATACTAGGTATTGATAGAACGGCAATTTTATGAGCTTTCATGAGCATTAATAATTTTTTATTACATCTCAAAAATGTATGTGTTACCACCGCATTTGTAGCCCCCTACAGTTTAGGGTATTTCGAATCACGTACATGTATCATGTGCATGACCGCAACTGAAGAAATTGCACACCTGCATATTTAATTTAAACATTATTTTATTATGTAAAGTAAGCTTACATAATTGGATTGGACATCAGGCATGGCCTATATAAGTCCTCTCCAAGGTCAAGGTTACAAATGTTAAGAAATGACAATGAATTACAATGATGAAAATATTCCTTATAAGTTACATTAAATTCTTTTGTTGACTAAAGGTGGGGAAAAAAATACACGATAATATATTAAATTAAATTATACAGATGAATTATTACTAAGCTTATGCATATTGCTATACAATATAATGACAAAAAGAAAATAATAATAAAAAAATAATGAAAAAAAATTATAATAATAAGAAGAAAGAAGTGCAAACAAAACAGCAAAACAGAATAAGTAAGGTGCAAAAAACTAATATTTAAGAAAATACAAAGTAAAAGGAAATAGTAACAACACTGAATAAAGAGAAAAATAATAAAGTGCAAATATAAATTACCAAGGAAAATACAACATACACATGAAAATGGAAATGCTGGGACTTGGAATAAATAGAAAAAATAAGAAATATCTGGATTTATTTTTTACTTAATTACAAAATACTTTAAAATCTTTTTGAAGACTTGATGTACTGTTGGACTGCTTCTGAAATTGAACAGTTAACTTTATAAGGTAGTTGCCTATCACCAATTAGCAAAATTTTCAAAATTTGAAACAGACATTTTTCTAGCTTACACTCTTAAGATTTTCAAAAAGATCAAAATCCTATTATAATAGGCTGGATTGATAGAAAAAATGATAGCCATAGGCGTATCGTATATCCACACTTAGTACAAGAGGCTATTTCACTTAGGGATTGATTATACAAGTGAGCATTTAAATTACAGCCACACTTAATTGACAATGCGTAATGTTTTCGCCATTTCCATAAGGATGCCATCTTTCATATAGAAGCATTTTTAAAACATGAATAAGATTCAATACATTTTGTTTCAAGTGGTAAATTGTGCCATAATCTTATTGTAGAACAGAAAAGTTGAATGATATCTGGGTCTTTATGTTGTTCAGAGAGTAAAATTATCGGCTGAGGATGTCCTTGCCTTGGCTAACTAGTGGATGGTGGCATAAAAGGTCCTCACCACCAAATTTTGGTAAAAGTTCTTTCTTCTCTTGCTTTTTGATATTGTGTGGTTCCATGCTTGTTTGAGTGCCATCAAGGTTAGATAAGAAAGTGTCATTCAAATCAATATCAACAGAGGAATTCGTCTCGTCAAAGGCTTGAATATTTTCTGCCTCCATTTCTCGTCTTCTGGCCATCGCTCTAGTAACAGCACAGGCTGGATAAATGTCATCATCTTCATCATCGCACATAACATCTGGAGTGTTTTTCTTAAAAACTATAGGATCTGGTACAACTTTTCCACCAGCTAAATCGTTGCCTAGCAACAAAGAAATGCCTGGCAGTGTGAAGAGTAGGTCGAACACCTACGATAACAGGTCCAGTAACTAAATCTGACTTCAAACTAATTCAGGTATGCAGGGGAACATCAATGACGCCTAGCTCCACACCCTGTAATAAAACTGACCCACCAGTAGAAGTCTGCTCAGACAAAGGAAGCACGCCCTCTAACAATAACGTCTGTGCAGCACCAGTATCTCTTAAAATTGGACAGGTTTTATTTACGCTAGAAAGTCACCGAGTGAAACAAATCCCTGAGACATAAAGGGCTTATAATCCTCCATAGAATCTATAGAACTGGACTGTGAACCCTGGACATCAGGAGTGTCAGAACAAATCGAAACTAAGGCTTCTCTATCACCTCTAACTGCCGCACAAGCATGTCGTTGAGTTTTATTAAAATCATTTTTTTCTCTTAAGTTTAAAGCATTCACTGATCAGATGACCCTTTTTCTTACAATAACTACAAGTAGGAATTGTACAAATATTTAAAAAGATCCTTCAACACGTCCTGGACCGGACTTAAAACCACCTTGGGATGTAGACTGGAGACTTGTGGAAGACTGAGACCCTGAACCACTCTTTTTATATGTGTCTGAATTGGTAGAATTACTGCTAGTTTGAGATCTTGATACAAAATTCTTTTTATGAGACAGAGCATAAGTATCAGATATGACTGCTGCCTCTTCAAGAGTTTTCACATTCTTATCTTCTAAATGTGTTTTCAAATCTTGAGAAACACATTCCTTAAACTCTTCTACCAGGATGACTTGGCGCAAATTAGCAAAGGTTTTATCAAGTTTCTTAGATCTAAACCAGTGATCGAATAAATCTTCTTTCTCTCGTGAAAATTCAACAAATGTTTGGTTATCAAACTTCCTATACTTTCTGAATTTTTGTCTATATGCTTCAGGTACTAATTCATATGCTTTTAATATTCTGCTGCTTTGACCTTCTCATAGTCTAAACTTTCAGCTACCCCTAGTGCAGAGTATACCTCAGCTGCTTTGCCAACCAGTACACTCTGTAACATTGTTGACCAAACGTGTTGTGGCCATTTAAGATTTTCTGCGACTTGCTCGAATTGTGGAAAATATTTGTCTACAGATTTTTCTTGAAATTTTGGAACTAATCTAATATTTTTTGCTGCGTCAAATTCAGTTTTGACAACTGACGGTTCTGGTTGGTTTTGTAATTTTAATTTCTCTAATTCAAAGTTCATTTCACGCTCTCTTTCTCGCTCTTCTCTTTCTGCTGCTAATTTGTCTAATTCAAATTTTCGTTCACGCTCTCGTTCTTCTCTTTCTCTTTCTCTGTCTCTTTCTCGCTCTTCTCTTTCTAATTTTTCTCTTTCAAATCGCATTTTCTCTAAAACTCTAATTGAAACTGATAGTCTGCCATTTTGTACGAGCCTAACTCTGATCTAACTGTATATTCTGGAAGATCGTATTTTTCAAAGATGTTTTCTTCTACTAGTTTGTTTGCAACCTTAATTCTAATGTCTTCCTTTCTCTGAGAGGATTTAACATCTAACCCAAAATGCAAACCTAATGCGATCAAGTCATCCTTTTTTAACGTATCAAAAACCTGAACACTTGGTGAACTAAGAAAGTCTGTGACCGAAAACACCATGTTGATTTCTGCTGGCTTATAATCAAATTTAACAATTTAATTAACAAAATTCTGACAATGAACTGCAAAAGTGCAAGAAATTCTTAAATGTATTTGAGCCCCCAATTCTGTTATGGGTCAGAATAACCCTAAATGCCAGCAAAGAAATCACACAGTTTAAACTTAACAATAATTTATTTACAGTAATATACAAATCATTAAGTACAAACTTAGCAAAAATCTAAAAATACATACATCAGAGTGTCCGTTGCTGCACACAATGTCCCAGTGAAATTATATCCCAGTAATACCTCAATGATGCTTATACGACAATAGTATCTATGCATCGAATTGACAGGGTATTTATACAGTATCATAAATCTACACATATTCTAGAAATTGTAAATACATGATATTCCTGGAAAGTTCTGGACATAAACAAAGTTCAAGAATGTTCTAGAAAAAATGACCAAACATATTGACCACTCTGGAATGTTCAAGAAACTAAATGTTACTAATAATATACAAGATGAAACAATACAAATACAACACACCTCACAACAATAAGAATTCTGAATTGTGCATTAATTTCAATTTCATACAAAATAATAAAAATTAATATCAATGCAGACTATTGCAGCCACTACTGTATTTTTCCCCTATTAAATAATAACTTAAAACAAAATGTTAATGATCTCTTTACAAGTACATTTTAAAAGCTTAACATAAAAGAATTGAGATCAAAAAAAATACTCAAGAGGAAAAATATGTTGATAAAATTTTAAGCATGGCGCAGTATAAAATATTCAGCTACATTATAATTGTGCAACAAACCTTCTTCCATCCATGTTTCTATGGATACGAAAATTAAACAAAGCTGTAAATTATTGCAGATATAAATTTTTGAAAAAATAATTAACAAAAGTAAATTTGGACTTGGATATCTTGAACATATTATTTCATTTAACAATAAAAATATGTCCAAGTGATGTTGTTGCAGTTCCAAAAACTATTTATAACATTTTTTAATCATTATCTTCAAGTTAAATAAAATCTTCATTTTGGAAGTTTAATCATGATCCTGTATTCGTGATTTCCAGATAGCAAGGTTATTGACTGTTATTCAAAATATTGGACCTATACCATTCCTGTTCATATTAATTTTGTGTACAGAATAAAAATTCTGAACTTTATTTGTTTGAAATGGAATGCATGAAAAGCTGTATAAAGTGAAAGAAATACATTGTTTATTTTTTTAAGTAAATAACCTTATTTTAGAACTCTTGTAGAGCACTTGTTTGTGTACACGAAACTATATAATCCTTTGAGATTTATTTATTGAGTTCTTGAGTATCTGTTCAATATAATCTGAAAATAAATAATGAAGTACACACAAAATCTGCATTTCCTTGACCTTTGACTTTCAAATTGTTCTAATGCCTTTATTATACATTCTTAAAAACCCGCGGTAGGTCTCACTTCTAAGACAAGCAAGACCTATTGTGGGTTTCAAACGATGTCAAACGATAAAGTAATAAATAAAAGTAAACAGCTCTATAGCTGAGGAGTTTATTTGATATAAAAGTGAGGACTGGTCATACATTAACTGTGCCTTTTTACAAAATTCTTACCAGAATTTCCTCGTAGTTTTCACGTTCGGAGGTGAGGAAGGCGAACATGGCCCTGAGGTAGGGGTCGTCCAGCTTCTGTAGCAGTGACAGACAGGTCTTCCTCCACAGGGTGTGTCTCTCCTCCGTATAACCCGCTATCGCCATGGCAACCGTACTCAGATCCATACTCTCTGTTAAGGTATAGAGGGTGATTTAAACAAGAGTTATATTACCCCATGGCCACCATATTGTAGGTCAATATTTCTTAGATCCCTTCATAATTCAACCAAGTTCAACTGATTATCCTGGTTACTGAGGTAAAGATAACACTATTTTTCTTATGAATAAACATTTGTTAATTCAAATTTTTTAGAAAATCATTGTAAATCTTTTCCCCCATATATTTCTTGAAAGCATGATTAAAATTGGTTGCTCATGGAGGAAAATTCGCTACTCTGCCCTACAAGATGGTGACTAAGGGGAATAACTCAGAGGCAAAATACTGTCGACATACTTTTTTACACAGGGTCATAATTCCGCGTAATCTCAATTTCTGTTTAATCCGCCTATAGAAAATTACGTGGATTTCTCAGACTGTCACTATATGCCTTGCATTTATATTAAGTACGCTTGGATAAATTCCGTGGAAAATTTGTGACCTGCATACATAGCGTAAATTAATACCACGCAGAAAAATGTACTTGTACAGTATGTAGCCGGAAAAGGGTATTTACAGAGAATTAAATCCCTTGGCAAACATGTCAAATTCTTCACATTTATGTTCATTAATATTTTATTTAATGAGTTCATTATTAAATCATTGAGAGTGATTTAAAAGAGAAAGTTCTGACCTTGACCCTTGGAATTGCTGGTACTAAGGATCTCTATGGCTTTGGAGATTTGAAGATTAAAGAGGGCCATGGCCGCCGCTACAGAGTATTTTCCATCCATTTGTAGTCTAACAGAATGTAAAACGTTTACAGACTGAGTGTTAATTCATTAAAATGCTATAGATATGTCACATTGGTACAGTTAAATTTTGTTTTTATGTTTCAAGAATACTTTGATCACACAAAATATAAACTGAAAGAAATGACTACCAGAAAGTGTGAACATACTCATGTAAAATAGTGTCTAACTGTTCAGCTTTCTGCTTATCAGCACCCCATCCACACAACTGTAGAGCTTTGGTCCTGCAAAGATTATTGCATTTGGTCAATTAACTCTTCCTCATTAGTTCATAGTCATCTGTGTTGTGTGAGAAGTCTATAGTGTGACCCCCAACAAAAACGTGTAGGTATATTTCTCATTTTAAAGATTTGTTTATAGTTTCTGTCAAATCTCAAATTTTTGTGGGGGGTGGGGGGTTAATTTTCGTTGTTTTCAAGGTATGATGAGACCCACAAATTCATGTCCACTACAAGATTAATTCTTGATCCAAAATCAAATCCCCACATAGAAAGAGATTTTCCTCAAACCGCCAAAAATTGACTCCATGAAAATATGTGATTTTACAGTATATTTCTTAACTTTTTTTTAAAATATGCATGTGCAGCATTCATTATTTGGCAACTTTTTTTGAAACAAAAGTACATTTTAACAAGAGATGTTTGTAAAACACTTATGCCCCCCTCCCCCCAAATTGGATTTTTCCTAAGTCCAAAAGTGCATAACTCTGTCTAAAATGGTGCAATCGTACCCAAAACAAAACTTGACTTAGATATTCAGCTGAAAAATCTGTATACTAAATTTTATTTCATTATGTGCAACCTCTGCAAAGAAAATGAACGGAAACTGCAAATAATTGGAATTTTTCTAAGTCAAAGGGGCATAACTCTGACAAAAAGGTTGTGATCGAACCCAAAACAGAACTTGTCCTAGATATTCAGCTGAAACATCCGTATACTAAATTTCATTTGAATATGTGCAACCTCTGCAAAGAAAATGAATGGAAACGGCAAATAAGTGGAATTTTTATAAGTCCAAGGGGCATAACTCTATCAAAAAAGGTGCGATCAAACCCAAAACAGAACTCGACCTAGATATTCAGCTGAAACATCTGTATACTAAATTTCATTTCAATATGTGCAACCTCTGCAAAGAAAATGAATGGAAACTGCAAATAAATGGAATTTTTCTAAGTACAAGGGGCATAACTCTGTCAAAAATGGTGTGATCGTACCCAAAACAGAACTTGACCTAGATATTTACCTGATAAACCTGTATACCAAATTTCATTTCAATATGTGCAACCTCTGCAAAGAAAATGAACGGAAACTAAATGGACCGACAGACCGACCGACCGACAGACCGACGGACAGCAGCAAAGCAATATGCCCTCCCTTCTTCGAAGGGGGGCATAATAAATATATTCCAATAATCACTTAATATTCATTAGTGCTCCAAAATGTAGTTGCTGGCCTAAGATTGCTGCTGCAATAAATTTTTGACAACATTGGATAGAAAACACTTCAAGATAACTTTTCACGATAACTTGCCTTTCAGTGCTGTGATATTGCCTGACAGAGGACAATTTCCGTGAGAAGTCCGCCGCCCAGTACATATTGACCATCTGAGAGCCTGGTACGTCCTCACTATCCAATCTCAGAATGCTCTTTATTCCTAAGTGTTTACCCAGCATGCTTCGCTGACCTTGTCTCGTATATTCCAGCATCTCTCGAGCATCTGGTTTGAAGACGAGAAAAAAATCTTCACATCTATTTTTAGATCAAATTTTTGAAAAAATATATATGGTACACATTTAAAAAAAAATATTTTTCTCTAAATTGAATGTACATGTTCACTAATATTTGCAATCTAATGAAAATAATACTTTCATCTTGCTCTTTGTTTGTGGCAGTACTATCACTTCTAAAAGAGTTAAATTAATTCTTTCAACAGAATCAAAGAATTACCGGTAGATAAAGGAACTTAATTTAATAAGATTGAGTTTGATCTTACAAACATCTAGTATACGATTTTTAGATTGCAGGTTTTGATTTGTATTTTTACTCACAGGACAACCATCTCCACACTCCATGCAATTCAGGCTCATCTTTTACAGCGAAAACATTGTGCCAGATATGATCAGACTGTAAAGGAACAATGCATTAAAGTCAGTCATTTCCGAGAGACGATGACAAATTATACAGAAAACATATCCTTGGCAGCAAACCTTGACAATATTCAAGTTTTAAATGTTTCTTGGGGTCAAACAGCAAAATCAAGAAATAAATTTCATCTAACATTGAGAAATAAAAATAAAAGTTCTAAACAGTCTTCCTACAGTACAACATCATTATCTCAGACTCCAAGATACAAGGACAAAAAAAGAAATATAAGATTAACTAGATGAGATCTCGTTGCGAGCAACGAGTAGGTCTTCCGTTGAATTTCTCGATAAGATGAGATGTGATTTTGAATGAGATATTCATTAAAAGATGATGACATTAAGTTTTCCTTCATTAATTTTAAAGTTTCTGTTGTTTATCACGATATTCTGAGCATCTTTTGTTCAATATGGCTTATAAAAATACTCCCTATTTTCGAAACGTAATGCATAACAAATATATCATTTTGGCCCCTTGCAACCACTTATTACGTAACATATGATAAAAATTTTATAAGATATTGTTGCAAATCGTTAAGATGAATATCTTTGCTTCTCATGATGGATACTTATCAAGAAAGAGTTGAAGATGAAAGACTGTTGACCCCTCTAAACCCCTAATTTAAGGAGTCAGCCCCATTTTCTTGATATCAAATGAAAGGTCTTGTGATTTCAAAGACTTTTTGTTCAACACCTATCCAGAGATTTCTTTTCCTTGTGGATATATGCTTCATATACATATTTAAGGGGTCACTCCTACAAGTCCTTAATGGGGCCGTTTTAGAAAAATTCAAAGTATGCATATTGTTTAGAACATTATTCTGACTGTCTTTTATTCAATATTGCTTATCAAAATATTCCCCTTTTTCGAGATATAAAGCATCAAAGATTTGACATTCTGGCCCCTTGTGACCCCTAATTACGTAACATATGATCAAAATTATATCATATATTGTTGCAAATCGTTAAGATAAATACTTTTGCTTCAGTAATGTACAACAAAATACTGATCATTAGAGAGTTATAGATAAAAGACTTTTGGCCCATCTGAGCCCCTAATTTGAGGGATCAGCCCCATTTTCTTGATATCAAATGAAAGGTCTTGTGATTTTTAAGATTTTTTGTTCTATTCGTTGTGGAGATATGCTAAATAGAAATATTTAGGGGCCACTCCTACAAGTCCTCAATGGGACCGTTTTACAAAAATTCAAAGTATGCATATTGTTTAAAACATTATTCTGACCATCTTTTGTTCAATATTGCTTATAGAAATATTCCCCCTTTTTGAGATATAAAGCGTCAAATATGTGACATTCTGGCCCCTTGTGACCCCTAATTACGCAAGATATGCTTAAAAGTTTATAATATATTTTTCTAAATGGTCTAAAATTAAAAAATATCGAAAAATTGAGCAGAAAAATGATAAAATTTTTTGGTCACACGGGGGATTGAACCCGGGTCGCCCCGCTTGACAATCCAACGCGCTAACCATTCGGCCATTGGGATCGCCGCTTTGCAATATATTCAAATGCTAATATCTTGAGATTGGCTTTTTTGATTTTCAAACAAATTACATATTTCGCTTCTGCAAAAGGGTCTCTATTCAAATCTAAAACAAAAATATTAAAAAAGAAAAGTTGAAAAATTGCGTTTCATATACATTCGCTTCCGGTATCGACCGGAAGTATTGACGACGCATAAATGGCGATTCTGCAATGCTATAAATCATGAACTATCATCTCCAATTAATCTTTAGTTCATATCTTAAGCAGTTTTCGCTATTAAATCAAGACAAAATTGCATTTTAAAATCAGAAAATTGTCGATATATCACGACCGGAAGTGACGTCATCAACAGAGAAAATTTCCAATAAGGTTCAGATCAGTACCTATCAGATGTTAAAGTTTCATCAGAATCGGCCCAGTAGTTTACAGAAATCGCGTGCACAAAATCGGTAAGAATAATAATAACTAGACATGAAACTCGTTGCAAGCAACGAGAGGTGGGAATCAGCTGACCAGTTCTAAAAGGAAAACGTTAAATCAAGCAGAAGAACTGAAAAAGATTTGCACACAAGGAGGATTGAACCCAAGTCGCCAGCATGAAACTCCAACGCACTAAATACTACGCTATCACGACCTCTACTCTATATGTACAAAACAGCGCTTTTCTGTCTTAAAATTATGAAAGGTAGGTCACTATTCAAAATTCAGCAACAAACGCCACGAGTTAATCTTTGCGCCTTTTCTTTGGAATGTTCTATTAAATAGGTGTGATAGCTTCAATGACATTAAAAAAGAACGTTCTTATAGTCTATTCACGGTTTAGAAAGTATATTTAACATATTTTACAAATTCCATATTGTTTATATGCATTTAACACTAAAGCGGTGAAGCAGTTATGAATTTTTAACTTTTTTTCAATTTCCTTTGTATCCCCAAAGTGAAATATCCCGATTAGTTCGACAAAGGTTGAAATGATTCGCCGAAAAACAGGTCGTCCTACAACGGTCATGGAATCACTATATCCCTCATTCTTGCTCAATAACTCTGAGACAAGAATGCTAAAATAAACTCTATTAAGCGATCTTTTAAAATAAAATCTTTCTCTTATTGTTGTCTTATTTATTAGTTTAATATGACACAAGTGTGCATAGGAAAAACAGTAGTTACGATTTATACTTAAAATATTAATCGATATTTTTTTTGAGAAAGCATTACTTATAAGCATCATTAAAGATCTGTTTTTCCATGGTGCACAAAAGATATTAGGTGTAGAATTTCCTTTGCACATTAAGTCTTTTACCAATTATAGAAGACGTTAGTTTGACACAGAACTGCAACGAAACTACGACGTGACAATCCAAGCATTCCTTTACATTTCATTTATCCTTGTGTTACTTTCGTTCAAGGAAACGCTCGGCTGCCTCCGTAAACCCCTATTGCGAAATGTCGGCGTTGACAGAGACAGCCGCCATTTTGGACCCGTTTCAGATTTTTGAATGCTAATATCTACAGTTAAGATTTATCAACATTCAAACAAATTATATAGTAAGCATTATAAGAAGGACTTCTATAAACATACTAAAAATAAATGAAAAATACTGAAAAACAAAAAAGTTAGAAAATAGGATTTTTTAAAATTTGCATCTCGTAACAACCGGAAGTACTGACGACGCACGAGAAGGTGATTCCGCAAACCACAAAGTGACAAACTATCGTCTTCAATAAGTCTCCAGGTCATAACTTCAGCCATTTTCGTGAAAAAGGGGTGACAAAATTGCATTTTAAAATCAGGAAATTGTCCATAACTTGGCACCAGAAGCGAATTTTTCAAATTTCTCTTCGGATGTAACAACTTCATATAGTGACACATATTTTGTGAAAGTTTCATGAAAAAACGCTGATGGCAGAATAGTTTTCGAGAAATCTCCTGTACAAAATTTTGTCAAAAAAAAAGAATAATAATAAGAATAATAATAAGAAACAGTAGAATTACTATAAGGTCTTCCGTGAAGACGGAAGACCTTATAATAGGGAAAAAGAAAAAGAATAACAAGAAGGTCTTCCGTTGGAGACGGAAGACCTTAATAAGATGAGGAACTAAGGCCTATGGGCAACAATGCCCACCTGAGTAACTTTAACCACTCATTCTTTATCAGCAAATTTTTCCCCAATATATTCCTATGTAAAATTAAGGTAATATATTGTGACCCCACCCTACCTCCATTTGTCTTGTGTCTGGAAGAGGATGTGGCCATTTATCTGAACAAACTAGAATGTCCTATAGCCATATACAGGGGGGGGGGGGCTTAAATATATGGCTTAAACCTCCTATCCACATATCAACAGAATTTGAAGTATTGGTGTACAAGGTACCTAAGTTTACTGTTTAAGATTATATATAAAACTGATGACAGAGATAATCATTATCCTCTGACATATTTCTATTACCTGTAACCCGTATCCCTGGATGATCCTTTCCTTCATTTTGACAGAGATATCCAGATGTCCACTCTCCTCTCTGTTCAAAGCATTGTCACTCAGTATCTTACCATGAGCCATGACCAGGTGGGAATCAGCTGACCAGTTCTAAAAATAAACACATGCGAAAATCATGTGACCAGTTCTGAAATTATTACTCATTTTACAATCATGTACATACACTGTACACAGGTCTTGGCAAACAACAAACATTGTAAATATACAAAATATGGACTCTCTTTGGTGGTGCATATGTTTCCCCAAAAAATATCAATTTTGATCTCAGCATAGCCTCAGTCAGTTTTGATATTTTTCTAGTGCACAATTATCCCTGCAGACAAAGCCTTGTCGTTATATACAATCCTTACAAAAAGAATGTGTTCATATACTACTATACCCCTGATTGTGCCTTGATATGCAATACTTACAAAAGGAATGTGTTCATGCACCACTATATCCCTGAGTGTGCCTTGCTGGGTGATGGTCAGCAATCGACTGTGTGCTTCGGATGCCAGGAAAATGATGTCACCACTTGAGTATTCAAAACTGAAAAGATCAACATTGATTATTATAAGTTTTCTTTTACCCCTAATTTTTTAAGCATACATCAATAAATTTCCCTTATTTATCAAAGTTCTATCAAAAAGAATTAGAGCCTATAATCCAAGTACAACATCTGAAACTTATTCTGATGATCTTTTTATGAAATATTTTAGGTTCAATGAACAAATTATGAATTGGCAAATATAATAAGAAATCAACATTGATGCCTGCCTAAAAACTGAAATTGCCAATAATTTTTCTTCCATAAGAGAGAAAATTAAATGTTGTCAACATGTTATTGAGTTGATAAGAACTGGCAGGAATTACACATCTTTGATACCAATTAAAAAGGGGATCACTTTTAGTAAAGAACATATTATTACAATGAAAGAAATTTATAAAACTAACAGACAGACAGACTGACTGACCACTAAAGGGCACCACTGAGAGAAGCCCTTATCACACTGCTTCAAAACTGCCGTTTAAATAAATAAAAGGATTAAAAAAATAGACTACTTATTTATTACCAAACCTTTAATTGTTCTTTCACTGTAGTTTTGATCTAGTTCCTCAGATCCAACTGGTAAATTAAAGAAAAATAATACATGTATAAATATTCTTCTGATGCATTTTAACAATATTGAAGAAATAGGATTTTTTTGCAGTGGCGACTATAGAATTAATGATAATGCTGCCTAGTATGATCTATTACATGTACAACTAATATATAAATGAAGAAATCAATCTTGTTTCAAATTTAAATGATATTGATTGAAGGTAACAAGTAGAATCAATATTTTCCATTTTCTAAACAAAATTCATTCATATCTGTTAACAGGGCTAAAGGTTAAGCCAACATCCTAATCAGCAAATAATTTTGCGGGCCTATACCCAGAAGAAAAAACAAGAAAATACAAGCAAAATGCTGATTGTTAACTTTTTTTAATTGTTAATTTTTTTATTGAATTATTTTGATTTGACACGTTTAATGAAAATGAACCTTTAAAATACAGAGTCCCTTAAAATTAAATCATCAAACTATATTGACTTTCAGGATTATGCAATTATGAAATTGCTCATTATAATTCTTTTTTTCATTCATCATTAGTGTGTAATTTCCTCTTCTTTACTATTTGCATACATGTACCTATTCAGAACATTACTTTTTTGGGAAATCCAATCAACCTAAGGAATAAAATTTATAAACACAGAAGAGATCAAAAAGCAGAGTAGAAAAATAATTCACTTCTAGGAGCAGCAAAAAATTCCAAATTTATAAATCACACCATGCTTTTCAAATCACCTTAAAACAATGGCATATTCAATGATCAATATACATGTAATATTAATAAATGCAAATAATGTGTACCTTGAATTTCTGTAATAAAATAAAAGAACCACCTTCAATTTTAAGTTACTGACAGATGTTGTATAGTTGTTAATGAGTGAAGTATAACATAAATCATCTATCCTTATCCTCCTCAATAACTTATTTCCTAATATAGATTCAATATGTTACATTTGTATTCATGATATCCATCTTTAAAGATATCTTTTTACTTTCAAAAATTCTGTCAACATTTACATGCATTTGTGTACTGTAGATCACTTCATTTTCGCGACACCTAATTTTCGCGAGATACTGTAGAAGTACTTTTTTCCGCGTGGTATTAATTTACGCTATGTACGCGGTCACAAATTTTCCGCGGAAATTTGTCCATGCGTTCTTAATATAAATGTAAGGCATATAGTGGCAGTCTAGGAAATCCGCGTAATTTTCTACACGCGGATTAAACAGAAATTGAGATTTCGTGGAATTAAGACCCCGTGGAAAAAAAGTACTTCTACAGTAGTCATTTACTCTTTATTAGCGAGACAAAATTTTCATGAATTGTGGTCATTGCTCCATATAATCATAAGGAATTCTATTATTAATAATACATGAGAATGAAGTTTTCGCAAGCATAACGTCTCACGTAACTACGCGAAAATAAAGTTCTCGTGAATTAAAAGTTATTTACAGTATATATACTGTATACAGGGACATTTTCCCTGCAAGCATGAAAGGGTGAAAATAACACGGACCAAAATACCCTCTATAAAGAATATGATGCATGGTTTCTATGAATGCATCAGTTGTTAAAATTACCTTAATCTTACTTTAAATCATTGTATAATCTTACCTGTTTGAGGTAGATGCAGTATGTCGTATATTTTAACTGTCTGGCTGTCCTGACTTAAAATTCCCAGGTAGCCTTTCCTGAAAACCATTGAACAAGTGTTGTATTATTTTATTAAATTGACTGCAGCTGTGTTGCTCATGTTCACACTGTGAAACATCAGTTGCAAAGTAGCAAAACTTTCCAAATTACTTAAAAATGATAAAAATTTCCAATCATGTTATGGAAATTTCCAAATTTCCAATGAAAACGTTATTATTATACACTATTGTCCAGTATTCAGTCTTCAATAATTTGGGTATTTTCCCATTTAATCTTTCGGCAACCTTAATTTTCATTTTCCCTTGGCAATAAATTTCATTATCCTTGGCAAGATCAGAGATAGAAAGATTTATTTTTCATTTTGCAGTAACAACGTTCTTATAATTTCCTATTGTAATACCATATCTGAGACAGTACATGTACTTTCTCTCACACTGTGGGACACCAGCGTATAGAGGAGACAACTTTAGGACAGTACTGTACTTACCTTGTGGGACACCAGCGTATAGAAGAGGCAGCTTTAGGACAGTACTGTACATACCTTGTGGGACACCAGCATATAGAAGAGACAGCTTTAGGACAGTACTGTACTTACCTTGTGGGACACCAGCGTATAGAAAAGACAGCTTTAGGACAGTACTGTACTTACCTTGTGGGACACCAGCGTATAGAAGAGGCAGCTTTAGGACAGTACTGTACATACCTTGTGGGACACCAGCATGTAGAAGAGACAGCTTTAGGACAGTACTGTACTTACCTTGTGGGACACCAGCGTATAGAAGATACAGATTTAGGACAGTACTGTACTTACCTTGTGGGACACCAGCGTATAGAAGAGACAGCTTTAGGACAGTACTGTACTTACCTTGTGGGACACCAGCGTATAGACGAGACAGCTTTAGGTTCCTGAAACGTCAGCATCTTTAAAGTTGATTAAGGAGAAGTTAGATTTAGTCCATGCACTGGGTCAAATTACAGAGAATGTTTCCTCATGCAGTCGTGAAAATAAATTGTCGCAAATTGACCGATTGTAAACAGAAGATGCACAAAGAAGGTTGGTTTACATTATGTCTGTGAATGACACAGTCTTGCATAAAAAATACTCTAGACTTGGAGTGTGCTTGTTTATATATGTATTTAAGCGTTAAAAGGATACAGGTTTGTCAAAGTTCCTCACATCCCAAACACAGACGTGGTTCTGAAATAAAAAGTAATTTATAATCTATTAAATCAATATGAGCTGCAACCTTGATGTTGGAAATTTTTGTTGCAGTATTGTAATAAACTACTATTTCAATGACAGGGAAAATGTACATTTTTAAACTGCTGTTATTCATATTTGTGATTAAAAAAACTATTTTTATGATTTGAACTACTAGCTGTAGAATTAATTTTTTCTGCATGGTTATAATTAGGGCTGGATCAATATATCGGTAATCGGTATATATCGATATTTTTTAGCAATATGATAACCGATACAGAGATGCTTGCGTATTGCTCGATTATTTCAACGTTTAATTAAGAGAAAGAAAAACGTCAAAGTGACTAATATTACGAATGACTAATCTGAAATCGTTTAAACGCATGTAAACATGTCAAAAGTGTAGGGTCGCTATGTAAAAGTTAGAAGCAAAAAGGCAAAATGTAATTATATTTGTCGACAAGAACTTCAAGTCGCAAGTTCTGGTGGAACAACGAGCCTATATATTATTACCCATCTCAGACGGCATCGCAACATTGACCTGTTTGCTACTGTGAAACTTGGAGGCAATTCCAGTAGGTAAAATGGCGCGTCGAAAAAAAGTCATGGAATGTAAACCGATAATAAGATATCAATCCGAGTTTTTAAGTTATAGTTTATTTTAACTCAAAGCAATTTGGTAAAATATTTAATCTGCCATTACTTCCACGAATACGGCGTCATGTGAAGTATCAACACAGTCAAACAGGTCAATGTTGTGATGTCGTCTGTGGCTTCAGAACGAATATTTAGCACCAGTGGCAACATATTTACATGCACAAGGGCTTGTCTGAAACCTGACTAAGTGGATCGATGCCTTGATTTTTCTGAAGAAAAATATGGGCAAATAACATTAATCTGTCATACACTTGTCCATTCAAAGAATAAAAAAAAAAACAAGGATTTAAAATGTTTAATCATTGTAAATTTATGCTTTAATAAAAAAATACTATCACCTCTTTAGAAAAACTTGCAAAAAATAGTGTATTCTCATTTGTCTGTTTCGGCAATATGTATCGCACATCGTACCTCTGTATTGCAATATGTATCTCATCGAAAAATTTCTTTCAATACCCAGCCCTAGTTATAATTCTAGCTATGCACTTGGTCACAAATCCTAGCAGAAATTCTTCCCATCATATTTAATATACATGTAAGACATATGGTGAAAATCTTAGAAATCCCCCTAATCTTCTACCGCTGATTCAACAGAAACAGAGAATCCATGGAATTGTGACCCCATGGAAAATGTATGTTTACAGTATTTCCTCCTTTGACATACTGACCTCATTAAATGAAGCTATCCTGTGATCATTCTGTCTGTCCACACAAACGCCTCGTATCATTTTTGTCTGAGTCTGGTTCTGTGGCCGAGTACAATCTACAAAATAATAGATACAGTACACATACAGGGAGGTGTCGTTAATTATACATTTAACATTCAGGGAGTTGCCATTAATTATACAGTAAACAGGCAGGGAGGTGTCATTATTTATACAATACACAAAACTAATTATACAATATACATGTAAATGCAGGGAGGTTACATCAGTTATACAACAGAACAGATATACAGGGAGTTGTCCTTATTTATTAATCCCTCACAAAAGGTTAAGTTGGAAAGGATGTAGTAATATGCAACTGTGTGTGGTCATTTGTGGTTGAGTGAGTTAACACTGTATGAAACAGACCTAACATGATTTGCATAGGGATCAATGTTGAATGCTGACTCAATTTATAGATAATTATGCTCTTTGCGAGAGGATGTCCTGCTTTGCAGTGCCCTTGCTATACAACAAAGAAGGAGGTGTCCTTAATTATACAAAACCATGCAGGGAAGTGTCATTAGATCATGAAATTAAGAACCAACTGTAAATATGTCACATTAGAACTTTAAAAATAAAGTTGAAACTCAAAAGCTTTCCCACTGACTGAATAAAAAACTGTGCCCTGTAACTTTGTTTTGACTTGAACCTCCTACCTCTGAGGTCATAAATCCTGAGGTATCTAGCATTCATTCCCGTCACAAATGTTCGAGGTTCTTTCTTAAACCAATCAAAAGATGCTGTGGTCTCCGAGGGCCCTAGAAATAGACAAGTTGATTTATATACAACGTCTTACCACCTCCCTCTACATGTGGTAAATATTTTATACTGCTTTTATATTCCAATCATATATAATCAAAACTTACCATCAATTTTTAAGTATGGTAATTGTATAGAAAAAAAATGTAAGTTAAATTATAGAAACTTTAACTCATCATATCTTATCTCTATTTGTAAGTACCGGGTACCTTATCCCGGTGGAAAACTTACCCCCTATCTCTAAGTATGGTACGTGTACCCCTGTTGTATCACTGTGACTAGAACTATATCGCTGTCTATCTCCGTGCTCATTCCCTGGTTTATGGTGAATGTTCCAAATGTTGATGCAGCTATCATTCCTATACTTCTCCAATCCTTCAGCAAGCTGATAATTATATGTACATCAAATCACAAATTAAATTAAAATTTTCCTTATCTGTGAAACTTAGTGAGGCTAACATTCCCTCCTCAATAAATTGGATTCTTTTTAATTTCTCTATAATTTTCCCAAGAAGTGAAATTAAGGAACAAAAAATTGCACTTCAGACACAGAGCAAATTTTAGAACAAATTCTTGCTAAAAGAGAAAATTTTAGAAAGTAACTCTTTCAGAGCTGTCTCTTTTAGCTAGAGTTATGTCCCTTAACAGAGGGTCAATCATTTTTTAAAAGGTATCATAAAACTTTATAAAAAAAATATTGTATGCAATACCAGGGGCTTTAATTTTCATGGGAATAAATTCTCTTGTCAAAAATTGTTTAGTGGGGTTTTTAAATTTGTTTGTTTAAAAAGTAATCAGATTGACATATGAAATTTTATTCCATATGATTTCTTTAAGATTGTCAAAAAAAAATTAACCTATCCAATTCTTGATTGCTGTTCATTATTATAAGAAATGAAAGTAGAACTTACCAGGTGGCAATCTACGGGATTCCAGTTTAGATATATACACGACCTTGTGTGTTTGGGAACTACAAAAATAATGTTTCACATGATTGACTGATTCGGTGAGTGCATTTTAATTTTTTAATACAATCTGACATAACATTACAAAGAATTTTTTTTTAAAACTTATAAAATGACAGCTTTATTTTAGACAAGTAAGCATGTGCATGTATTTAACTGAATTAGATTTCTACTTACCAAACTCTTTGTTAATTAAATCACTCTCATTATTGTCGCTAAAACTGAAATTTAACAAAATGAATCATAACCATGATATCTCTACAGTTAAATTAACTTTGACTTTAAAGTTGTCATATTATTACTTTAACATATAATCAAATCAAATGTTCTCAATAAATTTCAAATAGACTGAAGTTAATGCACAAAATACATGCAAAGCATATTAAACTATTTTTTTCCATATTAATTTGCAAATTACTCAGCAGCAAAAATATATAATTCCAATCTTTTTTTTTTAACAATAACCTTCATAAAACATTTAATTATTGATAAAAGTTTTCTTTTAGTGATCTAATATGAAACTTTAAAACACCTAAATGGAAGTTTAAAAAATTACGACTGTCACATCACCTTGAAGAAAACATTATTCTTACTTGTTTAAGACGACCCTTCCGTTGGCGAGTCCTATGGCCAACATTTTATCAGGCTCTGGCTTTGGATACCATGCCACTGTCTAAATACAATACAGGTGCATGTATACATTCAGTTTAAAGTGTAACATAGTGAATGGATTACTGTACACAGGGAAATTTTTGCCTCCATTTAATTTCTACCCCCTTTACCTTATGCAAAATTGGGCGAATTTAAGACAAAAAATTTTATAAGAACATTTTAATTCCTTAAACAGCTAGAACTGTGACAGGGCTAATTTAAAATGGGGCAGAATAGTCTAAAACTGCCTGTGAAAGTGTGAAATTAACATAGGGCAAAAATAATCTTGTATACATTAATGAAAGAAGTCAAAATATTTGAAAAATAAATAAGGAGACAGATAGACTATGGAGGTGATTGGCAATGACCTTTCATTTCAGGTCAGCTAAAAATAATATAGAATTAATTTCCAATGTACAGACATTTTTAAGTGAAACAATATTTCATGAATTTAGTAAAACTGGATTTCTATAAAGTACATGTATTTCAAACAAAATACGCAGGGCTCTGTTTTTATCTTTTATTTTTATATTTGCATGTATGGTCCTGAAACCATTGAGGATATGAACAGATAAACCCACCTTTAACATTCCAATCTCTATGGACTTAGGTTGTTCTACGGCCCACAGGAAATCTGAAATCTGCTTCACGATTGGAGCTAAAAATCATTAAAGATATATTAATTAGTCAATTATATTTATTAGTTAAATAAAAAATAAAATGTTCTATTTATATGAATCTGTCCCATATTTCTAATAATTGTCTATTTCAGATATTTGCATTTTTCTATTTTAATGTTTTGAAAATCTATTTCAGATATTTGCATTTTTCTATTTTAATGTTTTGAAAATACATTTCATGGAAGTATTTTGCTCTTGAACATTCAGGAAAATTCGTATTTGAATTCAATAATAAGTTTGAAGTACATGTATTTATTTCCATTTTTTTAATGAATCTTTAATTAAGATCCTACCTTTCTGTGCAGGCTTCCCTCTTGACTGGTCAATTTTGTACAGTAAAATCTTATTAGGACTACAGGTACAAAACAGGTCCTCATAGATCGGAGACCAGTAAACTTTTAGATTACTCATTGTGTATAGTTGGTGTTACAGTACAGCCTGCTCTTGTAATATATAGATGCACTACCTGTCACAAAATAAAATTGACAAAAAATATATAAATGTCAGTTATCAAAACAAAACTTTTTGCTAATTTAAATTGACAGAATTTTTTGACGCAGTAATTTGGACCCACGATGCATCACTTGTTTTAGCTAAGTCTCCCAAGAATAACAGCAAATGTTCAACAAAATGTTTACTCGCCTTGATTTAATGGATATATATTGAAGATAAATAGTAAACGAAATGTTCCTCATTAACGTTTAGCACTCTTCAGTTTTTTTTTCTTGGTATTGCAACTTGCATACGACGTCATGTGACGTCAGAGTCTAGACAATCGGCAATCCTCGGCTGACTCCGCTACGCTCCATTCAAACCTCGGATGTGATTAGTGGAGGAATACGCAACGGATCCTTACATTTCTCCGCCGGAAACTGCCTTATCACTCATTTCATATTTCGCTCTGCATAACGTTCTTCGAAAATGTTTCTTAATTTGTACAATCCTCTATCGTAAACAGGTTTTGATTACATCCTCATGTTAACAGGCTTTGAAAGCAAGAAAAAACTGCTGAGTGTGCCACAAAATAACTCCGATTTCAAATGTATGACATTTGAATGAAATTCAAATAAGATCACATGACTGAATCAGCAAGATGGTAGATCACCGTTGACGTCCGAGGTTATGTGCGAGGTACGAGTCATCCGAGGAATTCCGAGTGGAGTCTAGACGCACCAAATGTCACGTGTGGTTTGATGAGCCCGATCTAAATTAAAACAATAGAGGAGTTTGCGCTCGCTCTAACGGTTGCACCGTCAAAATATTAAATCTATAAATCTATTTCAAGCTATATATTAGATTTATCTACATGTAAACTGGAAAATGTGATATTTGCTGAACCTGTAAACAGCCCCTGCAAATGCCACAACATCGAACACATTATTTGTCAAGTTGTCAACAATACAATCATTCAAAAACGAAAAAAGTACGCACACTGAAAGTTGTTGAAAGGGCTTGGAGAAAACCATTAACACACACACTTTACTGTTTACATCTCTGATTTCAAGTTCCGATTCCGAAATCAGTCTACTTTCATTTTCAATTGCAGGAGTCGTAAACTGGTTCCAATTGTCGTAAAAGTTGTTTTGATATTCCGTCTTTTATGGGATGTTTGCAAAGATTAAATAAATGTACATATATAATTCATCTGATGAAGTTTATAGAATCTGAATTTTTTAAAAACAAAAACAAAGAAATGAAGAATTTGCGAACTACCCATTTCCTTTACTTCCGGCGTCATGTTTTTATGACAGCGATTGAGCGAACTTGAGAGTTTGATCCCAGATCAAAATGATGTTTGTATTGTACGAGTTGCTCATTGAATAGATATCTAAATGTAACTGAAAAACCCAGATATGTCGAACACAAGAAATCCAAAGGACATTAGAGGCATGGTGACGGGCAGTGAACGGGTAACTGCGTTTGATTTGGTCGACGTCCATTTGGCCGAGAGTAAAAATAAAAAGGTGTTTAGACATATATCTGGCTGTAAACCTGAACGTGTTTTATTTTATTTTTGTCTAGAAGCTGGTATTTAATTATTTAAAAACTCTACTTCAATGACAATGTGACCTAGAAACTACAGGTTAAATAGTTTTGATTTAATCCCTTTCCTGAATTTCCCCATGAGTCATTGACTGGGAAATATCCAGAATAAAATTCCAATTCAGTTGTTAAGGCAATGGTTTACTTTTCAACAGGCTGCAGGTTCTTAACTTATTGTGGTTTTTATTTACTCAAAAAATTTGTTCACAACATTTAACACATGTTTTATATGGCTAGTCTGAAAAATAAAGTTAAAATTCCAAGAATTTTAGGACCTCAATTTTCAAAATTGTTTCGTTAATTGTTTTTTTTAATTTTTTATTTTAGGATATGGAAGAAATGAAGGGAAATCTGGATAAGCTGAAGAATTTGTCCGAGGATGACAAGAAAGAAAATGCGATGCTGAGATCTCGAATCGACGAACAGAGCCAGCTGATAATGATACTGAAACAGAGAGCTGATGACGTGCAAGGAAAATCCTCTACTCTGGAGCGAATCAACAAAGAATTGATGGACTTTAGGGGCAATGCTCAAGAGATGCTGAATGCAGAAATCAGAAAAAATTCTCTTCTCGAAAAACGCTTTGATGAACTTGCATCAAACCATCAAGAAATGATTAAGATTAAAGACGAGTATAAGAGATCCAATCAGGATTTACGACAGGAGAACTCTCGTCTCAGGGATGAAAATTCACGCTTGTTTTCTGGTGCAATAGTTGAAAAAGATCAGCATATTTCTGACTTGGAGAAAAAGCTTGCCAGTTTAAAAGAACAGACCAGTAGTCAAGAACTTAGACAAAGGTACATGTGTGCATTGCATGTAGTAAAAAAGTTCACTTAATGTAATTGTCAAGATCAGTTTCTATTCAATTCAAAAGTATTCAATCCAGTGAATGGACAAAAATTTTCCTCCAAAGAAATTCAAGTAAAATGAAAAATTATCAGGAAAATATTTGCAATATGCATAGGAACATTAGTAAGGGTGCTTCAATCATGAAATATGCCTATGTGACAAGTCTGTGTGATGTACACACCAATAACTCACACAAAACTTTAAAAAGAATTCTTTAAATATTACCATTATAATCATATCAGGTATATAGGTATCATTATCATTACTTATTCCAGGGTTCGAAATTAGCGAGAAATACTCGCAAAATGCGAGATGATTTTTAAATCAGCGAGTAAAAATTGAAGACACTCAAAATTTTTAGCGAGTGGTGATTTTTGACCCAAGTAGTCTTGTATCCATATTTTTCTGGTAATTCGTCTTGCTTGTATGAAATTTGAAAAGAGTCACAATGCATTCGGTAAACCTCGGTTGATTCTCTCACCATTTCCCAATCAGCTGATGCAATTTATACAAAAAGTTTCATTGTACAGTGTAGTTTTATTTGACATATAAAATGTGTCAACCTTGTCAAAATTTACCTTAGATAAAAAGAGTAATCATTATTTTTACACCAAATAATTTCTCCCATAACTTTTTGAAGATCGTTTTCAGCATCTAGACAGCCATGTTAGGTGCCCGCTGTAAATATCACACGTGGTTAATTATGTCCGGGATGTTTGACCCCTTTATTCAGTAGCAAAAAATCCCAACCTACCATCCCTTGATCATATTGATTTTCTTTTTTGGAATGTTACAGGAATTACAGGAAATAATTTTTTTTTTTTTTTTAGGCCAGATTACCTTTTTAGCTCACCTCGACGAAGTCGAGATGAGCTTATGCTATACCCCCGGCGTTGGCGTCGGCGTCCCAGGTTAAAGTTTTAGGAGCAAGTCCATTCCCAAGTAACTATAAGCCCTATCTGAACCAAACTTGCATGGATGATGCATCTAGGGATGTACACTACCAGACTTGCTTCGGATGCTGGATCTGACCTACATTTTCTAGATGAGTGACCAGGTTAAAGTTTTTGGAGCAGGTTAAAGTTTTTGGAGCAGGTCCATTCCCAAGGAATTATAAGCCCTACCCAGACCAAACTTGCATGGATGATATATCTAGGAATGTACACTACCAGACTTGCTTCGGATGCTGGATCTGACCTACATTTTCCAGATGAGTGACCAGGTTAAAGTTTTTGGAGCAGGTCTATTCCCAAGGAACTATAAGCCCTACCTGAACCAAACTTGCATGGATGATGCATCTAGGGATGTACACTACCAGACTTGCTTCAGATGCTGGATCTGACCTACATTGTCTAGATGAGTGACCAGGTTAAAGATTTTGGAGCAGGTCCATTCCACAGGAACTATAAGCCTATTTGGACCAAACTTGCATGGATGATGCATCTAGGGATGGACACTACCAGACTTGCTTCAGATGCTGGATCTGACCTACATTTTCATTCCCAAGTAACTATAAGCCCTACCTGAAGCAAACTTGCATGGATGATGTATCTAGGGATGTACACTACCAGACTAGTTTCAGATACTGGATCTGACCTACATTTTCATTCCCAAGTAACTATGAGCGCTATTTGGACCAAACTTGCATAGATGATGTATCTAGGGATGGACACTACCAGACTTGCTTCGGATGCTGGATCTGACCTACATTTTCATTCCCAAGTAACTATAAGCCCTACCTGAACCAAACTTGCTTGGATGATGCATCTAGGGATGGACACTACCAGACTTGCTTCGGATGCTGGATCTCACCTACATTTTCATTCCCAAGTAACTATAAGCCCTACCTGAACCAAACTTGCATGGATGATGCATCTAGGGATGGACACTACCAGACTTGCTTCGGATGCTGAATCTGACCTACATTTTCATTTCCAAGTAACTATAAGCCCTACCTGAACCAAACTTGCATGGATGATGCATCTAGGGATGGACACTACCAGACTTGCTTCGGATGCTGGATCTGACCTACATTTTCATTCCCAAGTAACTATGAGCGCTATTTTGGACTAAACTTGCATAGATGATGTATCTAGGGATGGACACTACCAGACTTGCTTCGGATGCTGGATCTGACCTACATTTTCATTCCCAAGTAACTATAAGCCCTACCTGAAGCAAACTTGCATGGATGATGTATCTAGGGATGGACACTACCAGACTTGCTTCGGATGCTGGATCTGACCTACATTTTCATTCCCAAGTAACTATAAGCCCTAGCTAAACCAAACTTGCATGGATGATGCATCTTAGGATGGACACTATCAGACTTGCTTGGGATGCTGGATCTGACCTATATTTTCCATACAAGAGACCAGGTTAAAGTTTTGGGAACAGATCAATCCGAATGAACTTGAAGTCTTTGATATCTGCAGTTTTAACAGTTATGAATATTTGTTTACACAATACATGTTTTTCACACTAAATGCATAGAAATGTGTATATGCCATGTAGAGGGTAAAGCACAACTTGCAAGAATATTGTTGTTAGGATGAATACTTAATATTAAGAAAATATGATGTAGGATTTGCATTACTTAAACTGATAACATTCGTCGAGGTGAGCTTCGTAATCTTTGATTACCTATGTTTTTTTTAAAGTAATAACATTGATGTTCTTAATTCTGTACTGACCTATTAAAGAAGGACCTGTATTATAATTGATTTAAATGAGCATGAAAAAGACATTTAATCCTTTTTTAATTTTAGCTTGTTGATCTTCATTTTAGCCTGTAGATTTTATATGTACAGGCTAAAATTAGCCTGTGGTTAAAAAAGTTAATTTCGATCCCTGTTATTCTCTATGCATCCTACAGACAAATTATCCAAGATCTGAAAGTTCGAGAGCAGGAGCTTCAAAAAGAAATTCAGACATTGCAGGAGCAATATAAAACGGACGTAAAAAACCTCAACAATAAATTACAGGAAACAGAAGAGAGGTTAAAAGGTACGTGATCCAGCAGAAATGCTGTTTGATCGTTAAATTAACTTCACGTCAATTATCTTGATTATGGGGATCCTAGATAACAAAGAGAAAACACTTTTCAAGTTTTTTTTGGTCAAAAATCTCCATATACTGTGTACAGGGTTATTTTTGCCTTGCGTTATTTTTGCTGTTTCACACTTCCATACAACTTTGCCCCATTTTACAATTTTATCAGTATAAAAAATTGCTAGTATGCTCTTTACTTTTAATATGCTCAAGTTTAAATTTCCCACTTGCACTTAGGGAAAAAAGGGATGGGAGAAAACCATAGCGAAATTTCCCTGTTAGAAATGTACAATGATGCTGTTTGATTTTTATTTAAAAGAAGACATTGATAATTTGGAGGGGGAGGGGTGGGAATCAAAGATTTGATTTTTGGACAGATTATTGAAACGAGATTGACAAAACAGAGCATTGTTAGTAACATTGCTGATTTATTTCTTTTCACAGGTGCTAATTACAAGTTACAAAACCAACTAGACGACAAGAAATCAGCTGATTTTGAATCTCAGAGCAGAATACAGGCCCTAACCAAAGAGAAAGATGAACTGTTGGACCTCGCAATGCAGAGAGGCAAAATCATACAGGTATATTATTCTGCTGTAAACAGGTAAAATCATACAGGTAAATCACCATACTGTATACAGGACAATGTCAGAGAGGCAAAATCATACAGGTATTTAATCCCAATGCTGTTTACAGGAAAATGTCAGTTTTGATGTAAATTACATAACTTCCATTCCCTCCTCTACCAATGCCTTTACATAATTTTTTTTCAGAATTTAATATAAACAGTAAATTATTACTGGAATTGATGAAATGACCCAGCAATGTTTTTTTTTGGAGGGTGGGGTGGGGGGGGGGGAATTTGATAATCTGATTTGTTGAATCATATTCACTTGAACATGTCTAGCAACTCTGATCATTTTTTACAGTAAGTGTTACAAATTATATTCATGTATGTTAAATCTTTAGATTTGTTTTAATTTTTAGCTCTACTGGTCAGAGACCAGAAGAGCTTATGCGATAGTAATGCGTCCGTCGTCCATCCGTCCGTCTGTCTGTAAACAATTTTTCAAAATGCTACTCCTCGTACAGTTTTGGTCCGATTTCAATATAACTTGGCACACAAGTAGACTACACTAAGATACATAATTCTGTGCATCGGTTTTTGATTTCGATGAACGGCGTTGCCATGGTTACTAAAAATAGAAATTTCTGTGAAATTCTTTCAAATTGCAACTCCTCGTACAGTTTTGGTCTGATTTCAGTATAACTTGGCACACAAGAAGACTACACTAAGATACATAATTCTGTGCATGGGTTTTTTATTTCAATGAACGGTGTTGCCATGGTTACTAAAAATAGAAATTTCTGTGAAATTCTTTCAAAATACTACTCCTCCTACAGTTTTAGTATGATTTCAATATAATTTGGCACACAAGTAGACTACACTAAGATACATAATTCTGTGCATCGGTTTTTGATTTCAATGAATGGTGTTCCTATGGTTACTAAAAATAGAAATTTCTGTGAAATTCTTTCAAAATACTACTCCTACAGTTTTAGTATGATTTCAATATAATTTGGCACACAAGTAGACTATACTAAGATACATAATTTTGTGCATCAGTTTTTGATTTCGATGAATGGTATTGACATGGTTACTAAAAATAGAAATTTCTGAGAAATTCTTTCAAATGGCTTCTCCTCCTACAGTTTTGGTCTGATTTCCATATAACTTGGCACACAAAAAGTATATACTAAGATACATTAAATTCTGTGCATCGATTTTAATTTTGATAAGTGACGAGGATAATTTTTCTATTTATTGCTGTTTTGAAGTCTCAAGTTTCTTCCTTTGTTTTAAGTTTAAACCAGTAGAGCTACAGTCTCGACAGAGACTTCTGGTTTAATATTAACATTATAACGTAAGTCCTGTTACTTTTTACAGAAAGAACAATCGGAAAACAAGAAACTACAGAAGAAAATTGAGGAGACGGAGAGATCTATTAGGAGCCTGGAGGAGAAGTTTGAGTAAGATCAGATTAATTATCATCATTAATTGATTATAGCCAATTAACCCGACTAACATGCCTTTACATTTAACGGTGTATTCTATTTAGTGATTTTAGCATCATCCACTAAATTAAGTATATTTCAAAATGTCTTGTCTATCATAGATTTACATGTATATCTAGCACATTCAGATAGCGTTAAATCAAGTCTATGCTAACTTGTTGAAGCACGATTTTCTGCCAAATATCATATTACTTCAAATATAATTCATTTACAGTATATGGCTTTATATTGCAATTAACATGACTAACATGGTAATTTTAATAAGAGATAGTTTTATTCTGAAAAGAAAACAAACAAATTAAATATTGTGTGTGCAATTAATTTTTTTCACTTATAGATTGTATGTAAAAATTATTTTGGTAATCATTAGGCTTCAAAATTTTAAAATGGTAATTCAAGTACTAGGGATAATATGGCAGAATTATGAAATGCATTTCAACTACTGACATTTCAATTCCTTTGAACACTTTTTGATCAGTCTCATTATACCCCCTGCAAACGAAGTTTGGGGGGGGGGTATATGGGAATCACCTTGTCCATCTGTCGGTCCGTCTGTCTAGCTGTCCGTCTGTCTGTGCAATCGTGTCCGGTCCATATCTTTCTGACAGAGGGACTTTAGAATCTACTACTCCACACTAAGATTGCTCATGACCTAAGGGTGTGTCATGACCTTGACCCAAGGTCATTTGGGGAAGTTCAAGATCACTGGAAGAAAAATTTCATAATTTGTGTTTGATACATATCTTTATTATGGAAAAACTTACTTCTGAAAAACCCAGCAGGGGGTATTTTGTCACGTTTGGACAGTTCTAGTTAAGTTTCAGATAATATTGAATGAATTTCTATTGAATTTCTCATTATCTGCAGAATATCAAATTCCATCATGCTTGTCAATGAGTCTTAGAATTATTTTGTTGTGACCAGTTGACGAGGAATGCTCACTCCTCCAACATGGCACCGGATTCCATCTCTGATGTTTTAGAAGTCTGTGTTTGCTCTAATCTATTTTGTCTTGTTTTATGGTCTTTTGAGCTCTGAATATGGTTTGTTATCTCCCTTTATTTCATTCTTCTCCAGCAGATATATAAAATTATCAAAGATTACTGCTCAGTCTGGATCATAGAGTTATTAGGCTTATTACTATTCATTTCATTATTATCTTTCAACTTTTTTTCATTTATTTCTACGAAGGATTTGTCTTGCAGTAAGAAATTAATCACAGATAGATGTTTTTCTCACAATCAGTCAGTTTATTATATTTATTTGAATTACAAATAACACCCAATTTACAAAATGCACAATTTTTTTTAATATTCAATTATTTCAATGAATGGAAATGTTTATTCTTTCACATTTTTTCCCCATATCATTCACTCACAATTTAATGTTAATTGGTGGGGAAAAAAACCCTAACTCTTATTCTTAATTGCATTTTAAATTTCTGCACTCGACTCAAGTATCTTCATTGTATATTGTAACCTGACAAAACTTTGCATGAGTATTGTTAATGTTAGATGTTTGGATCTGATTAAGGGAATAATGATAGCTGTGACCTGATTACTAAGCTGATTAATAATATGATGCATGTACATGTATCACCATAGATTCCTAGTAACTATACACAATTAATTTATTTATCATGTAATTGTGCAAGAAGTACCATTCATGGAATAAAAATTCTTGCCTTTTTGTATTATTGATTTGCTGAAATATACTTAAATATTTTGATGCCATATATGGGGCTGGAAGAAAATAAAGATGTAATGCATGCATGGCTGTGTAGATAAATTATTTTTTAATGCTTTTTTGCTAAATGTAGAAATGACTGCAATGCAATTCTGAAGAGCAGGCAAGTAAATTGGAGTTAATAACCATAAAAAATTGTGTTATTACTATATCATGGGTTAAAAAATTTATTATTGGTAACAGAAAGAAGTGCCTGTAGTTCCAATTACAGACAGTTGTTATATGACATCCTGTATTGATAGGTAAATACGAGTATATATCCTACATTGTACATTGACAGGTCAATATAAGTATATCCTGTATTTGTAGAAGGGAGGCAGCTACAGTAAACGCCAACCTACAGGTGCGGAAGTTACGTGACGAGCTGAGCTCTGCAGAGACTCGTTGTAAAGAAGCCATTAGGGTTAGTCTTGTCAAAGATATAATTTATAAAGTACTAGATATTGAAATTTAAGCATTGTCATGCTAAACTTATATAACAATAAAATTAATTTTACAGTATGATAGACTTCATAAGTGCACTTTTAAGATAAATAATGGGCATATAAAATATTTAAAGATTTATTATATTCATTTATATTTTCAAAACATTATGTAAAATTATGAATACATGTGTACATCTAGATGTTTCATGTATTTAAGTGATTATTATTGTTCCACAGGATTTTGAGGCTTTTAAGAAATACTCCAACACGCTGCTGCAAAAAGAGAAAGAAATCAATGAGAGACTCAGGCATCTGGCAGAGTAATCTCCCTCAGTAAAGTCACTTCCTGTTGTAAAGACACAGTGGTGTCCTTTAGTTAGACCTTTTCCTGTCAGGATCAGGGAGAGTAGTCTCCCTTTGTGATATCACTTCCTGGTAGGGATGTGTCATTAAGGGAAATTAATTGTCTAGCTATTTTTGAAGAGTGAATTACTGGCTGAGTGTACATTACATTCAATTTAATCGAAATACAACTTACTCTGGTTATAAAATTGCCCCATTTAAGGTGATAAGACCATAGATTGTAAGATTATGCAAAAAATTTATAAAGTTGGAAGTTTTAAAGTACATTAATACTGCTGACAATTCCGAAGTCAAATAAAATATATATATAATGTAAAATATATATATATATATATAAAAATAAATATTTTTGTTTGAAAACATAATGCATCTGAATTTGAAGAATATTACATAATGTATATGATAATTATGTGATAAGCATTTCTACATGTACATAAAAGACTGCAGTATACATATATTTTATCAAATATGTAAACTTATATATACATGTGCCTTGGAGTAAAGAAAATTTATTAATTTACTGCTGAAACTGTTTATTATTGTCACAGTGATATAAATACAAAATACATGCACATGTAAGTTTTATATTATTGCTGCTGAAACTTTATTTTTATTATTAATTAATGTGTACATATCTCGTATACTGTAAATCACTTTTTAATTCGCAAGAACTTTATTTTCGCGTAATTATGCGAGACAGTGTGCTCTCGAAAATTTAATTCTCGCGTAAAATAGTATTCCTTAAGTTTATATAGACCAATAACCACAATTCGCGAAAATTTTGTCTCGCTTATTAAGAGTAAAAGACTATCTCGCAAAAATAAGGTGTCACCAAAATTTAGTGATCTACAGTACATATAACCAGTATTTGAACACTCTTGGGACTCTGCAGTCATTGCTTTTCTGTTTGTAAATACATGTATGCATCTGCAACTTTTGGCCTTTATGTGTATATATCAGAGAACGAGACTCTGGAAGGACGACATTCTATTAGGTCAAGGACATAATTTTAGGTCAAAGTTCAAAAAAAGCATTTTGCCATGTAAGTTGGAACCATGTACATGTATCAATTACTATTTATTATATAGCTCAATGGCACTTTTAACATATAGTTTTAGTGTTATTATTTTACCATGGGTTAAAATTTATTACCGAAAAAATGCCTGTGTTAAAGCTTTCTGCTTGACAAATGTGATAAATGACCAAATTTAATTGTCAAAGAATAATTATTCCATTTACATGATGTATGAGGCCAAATGATAGATTTATATGTAATATTAAAATTCCGTCCAATTTATGATTTTTTTAATTAAATAAATGTACTTGTATTTGTTTCTTTGAAATTTATTTATTTTTAAAATCTTGTTAAAATTTAGTTGATTATCCTAAAAAATGTTGAATTGTTCATATTTTACGAGTATTGTAAATAAATCATGAACAATTTATTTTATTATTTTTTTAATGCTTCATGCAATTTATAAAAGTACAAAGGGAGGAATAATAAATATTAAGTTAATCTAATGCAATAATAAAACATGATAGACTATTCAATTGCATAAAAAAAAATAATCTTGATGGACAAATCGAAATTAATGGAACCAATATACTCTTTGATGTGATAAAATTTAGTACATTCTTTTCATTAATTAACATTTACACCTGTCAGTGTTGATTCAATTTGAAATTTCTAGATCAAGTTGCATGGCCTTGGAAAGTTCACTGGCTCATCCATTACATTTCCCGGCCGCTCCTTGGGCCAAGGTTGAGCGCAGGCCAAAAATAATTTTTGTATACAAAATAAAGAGTACGACTTTGCATAACTCAACTGCTATAAAAATATAAGTTTATTATTATATACATGTACCAATATACAATGTCAACTAATTGAACAGTTTCTCCATGAGATAGTAAACTTTACTGATGTTTGCTATAGGGCCTGCATAGTACTAAATAAATAACGTAACCTGTTGATTGAAATTAATGCAGAAAGTCAAAAAAACTTAGAGGTCACAACTGCATGTCCATCCATTATTTTCCCGGCTGCAGTATCGTCTGTCTCCTTACAGGAACTAGAGGGACGAGAACTGGTTGAGCGGGGACCAGAATAGTTCGGGGTGTTATGACGGATATGATCTTGGGAGGTGGAATCTTCACCACTGGAACCTTAACTACGGGGACCTTTATGACTGGCGCAGGTACCGCTCCTCCGAAAATGTGGACATGCCTGTGGACTTTTATTGGTCTAGCTCCCGGCCGAATGGGAGGAAGGATTCGTCGGCCTTGCGTACGTAGGGTTTGGATTTGTTCTCCGCCGCAGATCTTGCTCAATGGAGGCAGAACATCCGTGCAGTTGCTCACGTGATTGTACGCTCCGCACGTGCAAACGTTAACGCCGTCTGGGTGGGACACGCGGTCGCCTACCTTGACAATGGATCCGCCGATGTTGCATGATCCTACAAAATAATCTTTGACTTAAAAAAGCATTGAAAACAAGTCTGCAATTAAGTGATTATTAGCTGACTTATTAATTGGCTGGAATTCAGTACTTTAGAAATCATAAAAAGCAGGTTCACCTGCTTCAAGGTGAACTTTTCTATACAACAAATTAAACCAAGCTATATTAAAATACTTCCAATATAGTTGTGCATAGCACATCATGTACTTGCACCTTACATTTTAGATGAACACATTTTTTCAATTCAGATAAACATTTATATCACTATTTTTGGTCATTTCTATTTTTTTAAATGAGTTTTAATTCTACGCTGATTCCAAATGACAACAATTAAAGGCGATATACCAGAATTTAATTAAATTGTACTCACCTTCACAATAAAAGCAGTTATTTCCGGGTCTTTTTTGATTGCATTCTGGTTTTGTTTTAGCGCATGCCCACAGCTTGCAATAATGGAAGTCGTTGTGTTTTTGGCAGTATCGGTCTGTACCAAACACAGACGATATATCGGGAAGTTCCGATGTCTTGTATCGCAGACAGCTTGTTCCAAATCTCTCTACCCCACCTGTAATTAGGCGGGAACGTAATATTTATTATCATTCCATTTCACAGATTACATTAACATTAGCAGAAATAATTATTAACTTTTTAATAAAAGCATATAAATGGATTTTTAAAGAAGCCAATCTCCTAACGAACACCTTGATGGTTTTGAAAATCTTGATATATCTCTCAATATCATCTTTGTTAAACCATTGGTTTCCGATCCGAAATCTGGCTACTTCACAACATTGTAAAGAAGTGAAGCGGATCGTAAATACTTGGCTAGTTAAGAGGGTTCAATATTGGCTCAGGAATGGTAAATCCTTCATATAGACAATTAATTGACCTTTTAAGAGCTAAAATAATTCAAAATGCATATAGTTTTACCTGTCTCCAAGATTAGCACCAATGTAAAAAGAGCCAGGAATACAGTGATTCTCCAGCTCGCCATTCGAACACTACCTGCCGACAAAAAAACATAAAACCATGGTAACAGTTAAGAAAACTAACTTGTCTTGCGAAGCGAAAAGCCTAGTTAATTAATCTGAACGACAATAATTCTCTTACCTCTCTATTGTTCAATATATAATGATTTCCTCTGGAAAACACACGGTATAATGAAGAAAAAAGAGCAAGGATGTTTCGATTAGGCTACTCTGCAAAATTTCTCTACAGGAAGTAAAAATAAAACTTTCTTTAAGACAGAGATAGAGACTTTGGACGTCACGGACAATGACAGGAGCTCAGATAGGGGCAGAATAAAACCTGGCGTATATTGCTCATTAAAGAAGGCTTCTCCTTAAAGTGACGTAAAACAGGGACCATTAGGTCCGTCTTGATTGATAATGTAATGATGTATATGCAGGAGTGGAAAAATCCAGATTTTTGTTCTATTTTTACGATTCTTGTTAAATTCTTGACCCTTCTCTGTTATTGTTTGTAAACATTGTGCTTTGATTGATAGTAAAGTTTACCTACATTTAATTGCAAAATATATAAAAACCTGAAATATTTTGTTTGTTTGTTTATAACTTTATATTTACATTCCTATGTCAGTAAATGATCAATAGGTTGAAACTAAAAGTTTAGTTATAACTTATAAAATATCCGTGTGGGAGAAAATAAAAACAAATAAATGTATTTCCATTTCTAATTTTTTTTTTTCGCTGTGATTACTCTGAGAAAGTTTGCGGAGCTGATTTTTTGATAATTCTACTTGAATGTAAATCAGGCAGGTCGATAGCTCAGGAGCTAAGGAGGCCTAATATGCATGCAAATGTCGTGCGGCTAGCTATGTTACAACGCACTTTGAAAAATTACGCACTTTGAAATAATTTTTCAAAGTGCGTTAAAATTTGGGACCAAGCTAACGCACTTTGAAAAAATATTTTTTTTTTCAAAGTGCGTTAATATGGACCATATTAACACACTTTGAAAAAAATGTAAAGATTGATCAATATTCCTTCAAATAATCGGTATGATAAATAACAGATCCTGGTTTGATAACTTTTTAATGATAAAGTCACTGTGGGACCTGAGATATTGACGTTTTAAATATTTAAGGTTTTGATAAAATAAAGGGAAAATTAAAGGGTCTTGAAAAAAAGAGTGACGATTGTTTAAGTTTATAAATTCGTTTCCCCCCTTTTTTTTAATTCTAGTCTTTGATAAGTAGATGTAAAGATGTAAAGGGGGCACTAACAGAAGACAGCTTCAAGCAACTTAGCATGTATCATAAAAAGGGGGGGGGGATTTGATTGTTCAAAACTATGAAAATTCTTTTTCTCTCATACGTTTTACTGTACTTTAAAATTTCTAGTTTTCATCTGTTTTAATTAACTCATATTCATTATTGAAAGTTTTCAACGTCATACCAGTTAGGTAAATACATAATTATAGGAATGCTTTGAGTATAGCATAGATTTCGAGACGTTTTTGAAGGCCATTCTGGTTTTGATGGGGGGCAAAGCCCCCCACTTATTTTGGAAAGAAATATACATCGTATAAGCATTGAAAATGCAGCGTACCCTTTTTAGGTTTATTGCACCCCTCCCCCGTTTGTTACCGACATCTATGTATTGGAAAGATAAAGATTTGTAATTAGGAGGAACTTAATATTTTTTCTCCTCCTTTCACGAGAGTAAATCAATTCATTTTTGAAGTTAGGGGTTAGGCTTAATAGTTTTTTGAAAGATAAATAACAAATAAAATATTTCCATGACTAAATATGATTTTTTTCAAAGTGCGTTATGTGTCTCCATGGTAAAATATATTGATGTAGACTCTTAACGCACTTTGAAATTTGGTCCCAATTTTAACGCACTTTGAAAAATTTTTTCAAAGTGCGTAATTTTTCCAAAGTGTGTTGCCACATAGCTACCTTTGTGTTTGACGTCAGTGGGCGAGGACTATTAAAATTGACATGGGAATCCTCGTGTAATTTAAATCTACATCTACATTTATCTAAATCTACAATTTTATTTCACAATGAAATGGAAATATAAGGAATCACTGTCTAGTTAGTATAGTATGCCATGGAAATCAACGATAGTGGGAAACATGGGATAATTTATTCATAACGAACTTCGCCCCTTATACAAATTATCTCATGTTTCCCACTATCGCTGATGCCCTGGTATACTATACTAACTAGACGGTGATTCTTTAAATAGTATGAGTAAGACATATGCACTCATTATATTGAAAATGTATACTTGAAAAAAATCGATAATCGTAGGGAAAGAAAGCGTGTATGTTGCTGAACGTCCCCCAAGAGAATTTTAAACTCATATAGAGACCCCACCACCGATCGCCGGTGGAGAGCTGAAAAATGTACATACACTCGGCAATTAGGGCAATTGAGCAGGGAGTATATTGCTCATTAAAGAAGGCAGCACCTAAAGTGCCACACGGGACCTGGTCTTGATTGATAATATGATGTATCCAAAGGACTGGAAAAATCCATTTTTGGCCTATTTTTAGGATTTGTCAACTTTTTACTCCTTCTCTAGAGAATTGCATGAATGGAATGTCATTTATCGATGAAATGTTGTCAATATATCTCTTTGTCGAGAAGAAGGTCAAAACTAGTGTTTTCTTCTTCTCATAAAGGAGTTTTTTGATAATTCTGCTCAATAGAAATATCAAAACAAGTAAGCTAATAAAGGAACACAATTATTGTCTTTCGAAATTCATTTACTATCTGAATTCTCGAGAAGATTTTTCCATTAGACCGATCATGACAAGCTGCACAAGAGGCCCATGGGCCACAATGCTCACCTGAGAAGCTTTGACCATTCTGTTCATTTATCTAAATCTACAATTTTATTTCACAATGAAATGGAAATCATACCCCCACTGATCATAATTTAGACATTTTGAAATCTATACTACCCCAGTGGGAAACATGTGCACATAATTTCAGCTTTTTGGCCCAGTGGTTCTTAAGAGGATTTTCAAAGATTTTCCTATATATCTCTATTTAAAACTTTGATTCCCCACTGTGGCCCCCCTACCCCCGGGGGTCATGATTTGAACAATTTAGAATCTACACTACCCCAGGATACTTAATAAGTTTCATCTTTTCTGCCCAGTGGTTCTTAAGAAGATTTTCAAAAATGTTTCCTTTATATTTCTATTTAAAACTATTGATGTACACTTGAAAAAATCGATAATATTTGTGGCCCCGCAAAACTACCCCCAAGGATCATGATTTTAAACAATTTAGAATCTACACTACTCCATGATATTTCCACATAAGTTTCAGTTTTTCTGAACCATTGGTTCTTGAGAAGAAGATTTTCAAAGATTTTTCCTATATATTTCTATGTAAAACTTTGATTCCCCATTCTGGCCCCGCCCTACCCCCGGGGATCATGATTTGTACAATTTAGAATTTACACTATCCCAGGATGCTTCCAGATAAGTTTCAGCTTTTTTGGACCAGTGGTTCTTGAGAAGAAGATTTTCGATGAAATGTTTAATATATCCCCACCCTCATTTTTGTCTTCTTCTATAAAGGATTTTCTCCCCTTGTGAATAGAAATATCAAATTTTCACCCAAGGAGCTAATAAAAGGAACACAATTATTGTTTTGAAAAGAAGTGGAAAATTGAAAAGTTTACTATCTGAATTGTTGAAACAAAATGTGATTTTCCACTTGAGCCTTCGGCTCAGGTGAGCTAACAAGGAGTCATACGAGGAGGATGTTTGATCGTCCATGATACCTGATCCCCACTTCTGATATTTTTAGAGTTCGATGTTTGCTCTGCCCCCGATCGTTCCTATTGACTTTGAAGCTTAATGTATAGCTGTTCGTTATCTCCATATAATTATACCCGCGCATGAAAAGCGAGGTGTATAATGATATAGGGGTATATTCATTCATTTGTCTGTGTCTCTGTCATTCCTTTACTCTTTGGGGGTACCGATTTCTTATCCGCAACTCCACTTATACCACTGAATGAAAATTCATGACACTTTAACAGAATCTTTGTTACATATATAGTGCCTTTGTGCACCTCTTATTTTTACTTTTTGATTTAAAAGATAATTATTTTGCATGGGTATAATTTTGTGAGCTCAGTGCACAGAGTATCTGTAGTATTTTATATTTTAATACTGTCTGTAAATAGAAAATGCCATTTAAAAAAATAATTACATGTGTATTAACCTGAACATATACATGTATATTCAGTTTGTTTGATATAACGCACCTAATTTACTTTCTCAACACTTCCCTAACCCCTATGCAGGACTTCCCCATTGACCCAATCTTATTTTTGATGTTAAATCTTTTTTTTTATCAATCCTCCTCATTTTACATATTTCGTGACATGGATAAATAGTAAAATTTCCTTCGATTTCTTACTATCCTAGCACCTGTCACATACCATTGATTTGTCACCGACAATGTTTTTTTTCTTCTTAATTTTCCCCTCAATGCTGTTGTGTTTACATTGTGTGTCAGGTGCCCTCCGCTCGCTCTAACTGTTTCCTCCTTTTTGCACGTGTGCAAGGTTTTCATTGTGTTGACATCGTCAATCATACAAGCCAAGCAGCCACGTGGATCATCTGATTTCATCTTTACTAAACATAACTGAAATCTACGGCAGGTACATGTATATTTTTCCTTGTTATGAAATACTATTTACAATATTGTAGGATTCTATGCCGTAAACTTCTTTTTGTTAATATTTTTTTCATTCAATTCTTCTCTGTTTTGCTTGCTATGTTATGATAATGTTATGTATGACATATGTTTATAAACATTACGGATCCAAGCGTGCATTTAACATGTACATGTACAAATGTGCTTTATAGTTTCGCGCGTCCTACCTTTTCACCTTGATTTAGTATTTATTTTATTAATTAAAATTTTCATCTACGTAGTTTGCATGCAGTACATCAGCAAAATATTTTTTAACCGTGTGAATTTTCAGTGATTAATACGATCTAATGTCGTGAGAAAAAAACTCCGAGGATTCTCAATAAAAAATATTAGCTAATAATTCACAAGTAGAAATATCTAAAATTTGTTAACTACAGAATGACATAATGAACCAACAAATGTTTTATTCTTGTCCTTTGGGACCTATATAATTTTCACCTCAATGAATTAGAAAAAAAATGTATCGCAAGAAATCAACAAGCATTAGTAGAAACATTTACTTTGTGCATTAGCACGGAAAATTTAACCGATGCATGTAGATGATATTCAATAAATTTTATGTTAATCTAGTAATCTACAGTGATCTAGAAGTATATCGCAAACCAAATATTTTTATAATATTGAATGCACATGAAAAATGTCAGATTTCGTGTTTTTGTATGCCCCAGAGCCCCAGTAAAACAAGAAAACTTTTCATGCACTTAATGATGTAATATTTTTTTTTTTTTTTGCATGTGCAATATAAAATTCTTAAACAATAAGCCGTTGATCCAAGTTACAGTATTTTGTTATAGAGATCAAAGTTCTGAAAAATAGCTTTGAAAAATTTACAGAATACTTTTTTTTTTTTTTTTTTTTAAATTTGTGTGACTGTTTGGATCAGAAACAGGAGAAAACTAATTAGTGTATATTTGTCTTAAATATGGATGACAAATTCTTTGATTGTAATCTAACCAATTAAAAACAATTCCCAAGGTATCTATATAGCTTAAGGAATACAAGCATGTAAATCAAAGCATTGTACAACTTTGATAAGAGGTTTGAGCCACATATAATTCATAAATATACATGTAGTATATACAGTGTACATGTTTACAACCATTCATGTCGAAATATATTTAGTTTTTTAAATTTCCATGGGTACAAATTTTGCTCCTTTGTTAGCCAACAAATAAGTCGATTTTACAAGGGTTGCATTAACTTCCTTCCTAGTAAATGAGCATTACAGAAATACATGTGTATATGGACGTTGCTTGGCAGGATATTATTGTTTCTCAACTAATTTATTTCTACATGTTTATTTCTATATGTACAATGTACAGTTCAAGTTTTATTATTTTCCATCGATTACGCAGTTTGCCTTCTTTTGCAATTATTAATGAATACTCGCATTCTGCAGCGTCTTGATAAAGAAATTCTATTCTTGCACATTGTTCTATTTCTGATGTTTCTTGGGTTTCATTATTTTTTAAAAACTGGTTTTCGATTTGTAGAAGATAAATTTTAGACAATGTTCATTACAGAGTACCGTTTTAGTACTAAAATGTGTATTTCAATCGCAAAAATGAATAGGATGTTTAGATGTTATGGAAATGGAGAGACGTCGCGCATAGTATTGGGGTTTGAAATTGCATAACTTGTAACACTGTAAACGACGGGCGTTGGTATTTTTGGTCATTTCATCGTTTTGGCTACATGGATTTTTCTGGCAATGTGTACCAATCTTCTATAACTTCCTGTGATGATGTCATACAACATTCATTGATAAATTTCTCATTTACGGATTGTTCCGACTGTTCGTAAAATAGGAAGCGTTCCGTAACATGCCGTAATCTTGACAAATTACAAGAAAAGATAGAATGTTTGATAAAGATATTTTACTATACGATGGGTTCTTTTTTTTAAAACTAAGTTGATAATTGAATGTGCAAATCAAGAAGTTGTTACATTTTTCTTTTGATAATTTTAAGCAAGCAGTGGATGAGATTAATTGAGCGATTTTGATGTCTAGTCGGTTTTGTTACTACGACACAAATATGCGTATTATGATATTTAACCGGGCGTATTACACCAATATGAGCTGTATTCTCTATTTGCTGGGGCAACTTTTAACAGATAAAATATTATTTTTGAAATGTGCAAATAAATAAAAATTTGCATTCAAAGAAACAATAATAAATAAGACATTTTTAAGAAAACAGGAGCAAAAATTGAATGTCTAGTCTGATTTGTTACGCCTTGAATTTTTGACATTTTTACGCTTAAACGACGTATGCAATAACGTCAGAAAAGTATACAGACTGTGGACAAAAGTATCGGAACGATTTACGTCGTCGTTTTATATTTGGAAAATACTCGCGTTTGATTCGATGCTTAAAATAGCCGTATTACGTAAAAGCTAATAAATATAAATTACAATTTACTTTGACGTTACAAAATCCGCCCCAATTCTGTGCGCGACGTCAAAATATATTTGAAATGATTATTTTACTCTTCTGCCAAAGTTTTCTCTATGTCATATGTTGGATCATCAACAAGAATCAATTTTAATTTATAACCCACTTTATGTTTCAGATGAGGTACTCGGGTACACTCTTTACCAAACCTATTCTTGTGGGTCTTGGAATTGTTGTCCTGATTTTCTTTATCATCAACGTCTCGTATGACATCGAGAAGAAACGAGAAGCGGAGAAAAGGCGCGAACATCGGGCACATCTCAAAAGACAAAATTTAGACAACTTGTTATTCCATCCCCGGAAAGTGCATCATGGTCGGAAAGCGATCGGAAATCTCGATTGGCATAGTGGAGATGTAATTCCTGTGTTCTTCCGAAAAAATGTCAAGGAATTAAAAATGAACTGCGATCCTCTTTTTAGGGGATCTAGCGTAGCTTTATCACGGGCCAAGCATATACATCTACGACATCCTAGAAGACCAATTTCGCCCTCAAAATATGACCTTCTGACGAAAAAATGTGACAGATTCAAATACTACCGCAGTTACATCACCGGGCCCCTAACGACCAAAGAAAACAACTATCCCATAGCTTACAGCATCATTGCCAAGAACTCAGTTTTTCAGTTCGAAACTTTACTTCGTGCTATCTATAGGCCGCAGAATTACTATTGCATCCACATTGACAAAAATGGTCCCAAAGAAATACGCCAAGCAATTCAAAATATCGCTCGTTGTTTCCAGAATGTATTTGCCATCAATCTGGAATCTAGCGTTAAGAGGGGAGATCTATCCCATTTGAAGGCCGAACTCGGCTGTTTACGTAGTCTGCTAAAACACGGAAAGTGGAAATATTTCATCAATTTGTCAGAGAACGATTTTCCATTAAAAATTAACAGCGACATTGTAAATATACTAATGTCACTCAAAGGCGCCAACAGTATCCAAGGAATTCCAATGGATCCACAGTGAGTTTACTCTTTTTGGTATTTTTGGAACGATAGTACAATTTTCAGTTAAGCTTGTACTTTCAGTAAGGCGTGGCATTCTCGGCGCTACATGATTGCGGTTTGTCAAATGGCGAATAGATTCTCATTAGTTAAGAAAGTAATAACATCAGGAACTTTGAATTGTTGTTGACAACGATGATACGACTTTAGTGCACCTCTTTGCCGGGCCAGACAATGTTATTAATTATTCGATACACTAGTTGACATTTGCCCGAAATTCTTTCCCATGTATATTTCAACAGTGAATGAAGGTTGAGTAAATTTCAGATGCTAATTATGTAACGTTGAGAATGCTACGTCTTACTGAAAGTCCAAACGTACCTGAGAATTGTCCTAATATGACGTCTATCATTTTTTTTTAAAAAAAAGCTCTAGTCAGTTCATCAATTTAAACTTTCGTAAGAGCTATGAAATTATTGATGTATAAAGGTTAAATAATACTTAATTGATACAAACTCATGGTGTTTCCGCGGCATTAAGTTTCGTTTTAGCGATCAGTTTTAATTAAATATGTATATAGAATCCAGTTATGCATCTACTTCAAATGATTTTGAATTTTTGTGTTTTTATCTTGAAATTTATGTATTTAACCAAATTAAAAAAAGAATTGGTTTTCCTTATTTTGATATTTATCAAGAACTGAGAAGAGCGCAGGAACGTTACCCAAAGGAATCAAACCATTCACAGGCGAGGGTGACGTCGTCATGAATAGAGAGACCGCCCAGTTTGCTGTCAATCATCCGTCTGCGCAATCCTTGTTGTCATGGGCGGGAAAAACCAAATATCCCCAGCACACATTTTACGCCACATTGAACTACAACCCACAATACAAAATAAAGGGATCTTACAGAGGTATACTATACATGTACATACAGTACGCTTGTAGATAAACAAGGAAATTGTGTCAAAAATAATCGTAAAGCAAGGAACTTTCTAATAGGGCTAAATGTTCTTTTCATACTTTAAAAAAAATTATGTGACACCAAACTTTAACACAGAAAATAAGTGTAAAAAGATTAAAGAGTATATACAAGTACACGTACTATATATATAAACTTTAGTTTTAAAATAGCTTATATATAGTTATGCCAAGTGATATGTATAAAGTGCATTTCTTTGTGTTATTCTAGGTCCAACCGATTTTCCACATCTGAATAACCAGGCGCATATTGCCAAGTTTGTGGATGCCAAGAATTCCTCCGGTCACGCGTGTCACGGGTCAAGGTCTGATCAAGGTTACTGCACGTTTGGGGTTGGAGATTTACCTTACCTCGTGAACCGGAAGGAGTTATTTGCCTACCGTTTCCGGTGGGATACGGATCGTCTCGTGTTACAATGCTTAGAACAGATGATCTACCAGCGATCCAAAGAGCAATTTATGTACCCCAAAGATTATGATTTGTCCTTTTACAAACACTTGGACATTGTATTGCATCAAATATGATGAACAATTTTATTTATTTTATTTTTTATACAAATAAAATTTTAGGAAACAATAACTGATCTTAATGAAATTGCTTATAATTAGAATTAACTGCTGGAAGATGTCGTTGATGATGTGTACGAATCACTGGATGACGTCAAAGATTTTGTGGAAATTTTAATAGTTTTGACCTCGTTCACAGGAATAATTTCTGCTGGTGACGTATCACGCACAAATGCTGACGTAGAAGGTTCTGTCGTGTTTTTTGGTATCTCTAAGCTTGCTGATTTTTGAGGTGGTGGTGGACTGTTAATTTCTGCACCAAAACTTCTCATCATGCCGGAAGGAAACAAACGATCCCCGAGGTCCAAACTCGAGGTACTCTGTCTGAGGTCCACCGTAAGTGGGTCACGACTCTGAGTAACGAGGTCAACGGAATCTTGGTGAATATTGTCTTTACTGTCTATTTGTAAATTGCTGGAACTTTTGGAAATGTGTGGCTTTCTTCCGTATTCTTTCTATTAGTCAAAGATAAAATTACATGGGAGTCTGAAAGGCAAAAGCGTTGTTGAGCGTGTTCAGAATATAAAATTATTCTTAATACATAATATTTAAAAGTGGCGGGGCTACCTATACCTGAAATTTCATCATTTGAAAATTAAAAACGTAAAAATCCAGTTTCATTAACATTTTTTTAAATTAACATAGTTACCTTTTGTTTTGATGACTTTTCAGGGTACAACACTAACGAACTCGTCTGATGAAATCTTTGTTGATTCTTTTCTTTTTGCTTCCTATTCTTACGAATTTTATCCAAGAAACTGTTACATAAGAATAGTACAATGCAATAAAGATAAAAAATATTATGGAAGTTATACTAATTTTATAAAACCCCACCTCCAAGTTTTCACAGCCAATGACCTTGAATTCGCTCATAAATATTCTTCGCAACAAAAATGCCCTAAATCTTTGTTAATGTATAACTGGTCAAAGTTTTTGGCAATATATATATACATGTTTGCTGGTTTTTTTTTTGTCTAAGAACATCTGACGATCTTCAAGCTTGAAATATCTTGTATATCGCAAAACAAGTACTAATAAGTTTCTTATGACTTTAATTGTAGTGGGCAAAATACAATAAAATCAAAGAACAACATAATTTGCTCAATTGCTTAGCTACTGTAGTAAAGCTTACACCATATATTTGGCTAAAAAGAAGACAATTGGTTTTGCTTGAATTGTTTGAAGAGTGAATATATCTACGTTTCAAATTAAAAAACAAACATATTTACTAACTTCACTAGCAATGGATTCAAAGAAAACTTTTCAAATTCCTTCAATGTGTACCTTAATGATTCCTCTGGTTTCCTTCCCATAGCATCCAAATCACCATCAAAACAGATATCCTTACGAACATTTTTGTCTGATTGATACTGAAAAGGAAATAGAAGACTTCCTGATAAAGATATGGCGCGATGCATTTCTAAGTATAATAAAACTAATATTTGTTTACATGAACAGCAAAACATTGATATCTTGCGCCCTGAAAGAGGGCACAGAGTACAACAATTTACAGATATCTTACTTCCTAAAAGAGGGATTACAGCAAATTACAGATATCATACCCCTTGAGATTGGCAAAGCATAGTAAAATACAAAAAAAAACTTGTCCCTGGGGGCACATACCTTCTCCCGGAGTAGGGCAAAGTACAGTTAAAAAAACAGACACCATACCCCTGGAGGAGGGCAAAGTACAGTAAAACACATACCTTACCCCTAGAGGAGGGTAAAGTACAGTAAAACATAGATACCTTGCCGCTGGAGGAAGGTAAAGTACAGTAAAAAAAAACCCAGATACATTACCCCTGGAGGAGGGCAAAGTACAGTAAAACACAAATACATTGCCCCTGGAAAAAAATAAAGTACAGTAAATCATAGATACCTTGCCCCTGGAGGAGGGTAAAGTACAGTAAAACATAGATACCTTGCCCCTGGAGGAGGGCAAAGTACATTAAAACACAGATACCTTGCCCCTGGAGTAGGGCAAAGTACAGTTAAACATAGAAAAATTGATCCTGGAGGAGTGCTACATTCAGTAAAAGACAAATTCCTTACCCCTGGAGGAGGGCAAAGTACAGTAAGACACAGTTACCTTGCCCCTGGAGTAGGGCAAAGTACAGTAAAACATAGATACCTTACCCCTGGAGAAGGGCAAAGTACAATAAAACACAGATACCTTGCCCCTGGAGGAGGGCAAAGTACATTAAAACATAGATCTATACTTTGCCCCTGGAGGAGGGCAAAATACAGTAAAACATAGAAACATTGATCCTGGAGGATCCTTCAGTAAAACACAGATTCCTTACCCCTGGAGGAGGGCAAAGTACAGTAAGACACATTTACCTTGCCCCTGGAGTAGGACAAAGTACTGTAAAACATAGATACCTTGCCCCGAATAGGCCAAGTATATTAAAACACAGATTCCTTACCCCTGGAGGAGGGTAAAGTACAGTAAAACATAGATACCTTGCCCCTGGAGGAGGGTAAAGTACAATAAAATATAGATACCTTGCCAATTGAGTAAGGCAAAGTAGAGTAAAACATAGATACTTGTCACTGGAGTAAGACAAAGTACAGTAAAACAAAGATACCTTGCCCATGGAGATTGATTGATTGATTGTATATTGTTTAAGGTAAGTCACTCCTGAAATTTGTTATATCAAGGATTTTTTGAGAAGTATATTTAAAACACAGTACCCATAAAGTGTAACTCAAAATCGCAAAGAAAATAGGGGGTCAGTGTGCATCCTACTGATCTAGGCAAAGGTACATTTAAGTTGACCTTTTTGCACTTGAATTTCATCTCTTTGGTTAATTACTTTAACCCTTATTATATTTGATTAGATGTAAGCATGGCAATAAATTTAATCTAATTTTACGTAAAATAGTTTGAATAATATTTATCTTTAAACAAATCTTGCAAATTAATGCGCGTAAGTTATTGTGTGACCTTTTTGCACTAAAAAATAACATATTTGGGGTATTAAATAACTTAATAGGCAATAGAAAATTTTCTTATATCAAAGTTTTTACGACTTGAGTGCAGTAAAACACAGATACCACAAATAGGGAGTAGTTAAAAATAATGAAAGGAAAAGGTGGGGTAAAACAGTGATGTTAATTTTGAGGAGGGCAATGTACAGTAAAAAATAGTGTATACTTTGACCAAAGTACAGTAAAACACGAATACCTTACACTTAGAGGAGGGAAAATTATAAAACACAGGAAAAGTTTGTTGAGGGAAGGTGTAAAACATAGATACCTAAAAATATAAATTAAAACACTATTTTAAATATTTTTAGCAATATTAAAACATAAATACTTTGCCCTAAAAGTATGTGAGGCTAAATTTCCATTACATAAAATTTTATAAATGTGCAGATGGGGGAGGGAATTTTCTGCTACAGATAACTTCCTTCCACCAAAAGAAATAGTCCCTCATTAATCTTGCTTCTTTGTAAATTTTTGAAAGATTCATTGAATGTTAAAAAATTTACATGGTTGAATTTAAATATGTTATAAATATAGAATTTTAATAAGTAGTTTTGTTAAAATGTCATTCAAAAATAAGATTAAGTGTATACCTTGATGGTAAACAGCATGACAATAACGAAGATGATACAACCCAGAAGGATTCCGAAGATCAACAGGAACATCCGTCTTCTTCGGAGCGTCTCCATTATGTCCGCTTCTGATACCTGTGAGATATTAGGTAAGAAAAAGAAATCAATTCTCCAGTTCAAAATTTCAGTATCAATACATGAAGGTCATGATCATGTAAAATGATTTTTTTGCATTTAAAAAATTTTTTTAAATATAGACCGTTTTTCTTTTTTTTTTCTTTTTTTTATTTTGCTTTCCGAGTGTCAAGGTTTAAGAACCCCAAACCAAATATTTTATATTTTTGTAAATTTAACATATACATACCCTTTCCCAGTGTTCAAACATAATCTTTTTGTGCCATCCGTCTATAGTATCCATCCAATCTGCATGTAAAGAAAAAAGTCATAAAATTTTAGATCATGGTATTAAGTTTCATAAATCCTCTACTTACTATTTTTTAAATGACTTTTATGATTTTCCAAAAGTAATGTTTTTATAAGTGAAAAACAAACAGTTTTACCATAGCTTGCGGGGAAAAATTAAACAAAAAAGAAGTTCAACTTGATAAATCTTTAACTTAGGAATAATAGACATTTATGTTATTAAGAGTTATCTATCTTATCAGAGTATCATTGAACCTTAAAAAAGAAATTACGATGCAATATTCATGGGTTGCCCGTATTTTTTTTTTAAAGTAAAACATTATTTACTAAAAAAACTGTGTTCTTTTTTTAACATGCAAGGTAATTATTTTTTACATTTTGAATGGGTTTTTAAAAATCTTGTATACCGATAACTGTGTAGTTTGATATTGGGTCTTTCTTCTCTTGGGTGTTGGCTCGTGGAACTGTTTTGTTCTGGGTTACTAAGGTTTTAGACGACGTACTTCTCTCAGGTACAGGTGTAGAGGCCACAGTGTTATGTGTGCCATTTACTGTAATAAAAAATATTCTAGAAATAAATTCATCCAAAATTCATGCGTGTAAAAATAATTTATTTTCTTGAATCGGTGTCAATCTACGGAGCGCTTCTCTCGTTTGATGGTAAAAGGGCGGCATTATTATAAGGTAGATTTGTCATGGCGCGGTGTATTTTGTGCCAAAGCGCACAAAAATGCTTTTTTTTTTAAACTTTAGAATATAATCACATAAAATACTTTTTTTATAAACGTTAAATGTAAACATATTCATTTCAAATTCCCCAAAATATGAAACTTAACTGAAATATAAAAAAACTTTTAAAAAAAATTCAGGAAATAATCCCTGTTTCTATTAACTCGATTTCTGTGACCAGGCTTTTCTTTGAACCAGTGCGTGTAGATTTATCAGGAGATGTCTCCGCTTGGCTCCGTCCGGTATCCGCATGATGCCAGCACGGATCTCTGACAGCTTCAGTTGAAGTTGTGGGTTATTGGGGTCTGTCGGGTCCTCTTCCCTTGTTATTTTTGCACAGGGAATATGATTCCATTTATCCTTCCATATTTCTGTAAAAAAAAATTTAGAGTGAGAATTAAGTAGATTTACATGCTTATCTACGAAAGCTTAATTTATAAGCTCATTTTCGTAGGATAAGAAATATCGTTCTAGCGTTATATCTGTAAATTTTTGTGCCATTTCCGTCTATAGTATACCATCGAAATTTTTCATATAATATATGAAAAGAGTCAAATTTTTATTAGATTATGGTATTAATGAAAAAGAAATTATGATTTAAAGCATTTAAAATATATGAAACTATCATTTTTATTAAATTCATGTTTCAAAAAATGTTCTTTTTTAGCAAAAACAAAGCACAAATAGTTACACTTTTTGGATACAAAAAAGACACACATTGTATATCCGATAACTGTGTAGTTTGATATTGGTTCTTTCGTTACCCGACGTGGAAAAGTTTAATACTGGGTACAAAAAAGTCATGTAACTTTTCTCAACAAAGTCACCGTTTAACTCAAGTATTTCTTGTGTGCCTTTAACTGTCATAAAAAATCTAGAAATAAATGTTCTAAAATTTTCATATAAAAATAATATTTTCTTAAAATGCCTTCTCTCATATGATGCAAAAGGGCGACATCCGTCCGCGTAAAACGATTTTATGTACGGAAATACAACAAAGTCACGTTATGAAATTTCATTTTTTAAAAAAAAACCTTTAGAATATAATCACATAAAATGTTTTTTATAAACGTTAAATGTCCAAAAATATTATATTTCAAATTACAAATGAAACTTCTTGAAATATAAAAATCTTCAAAATAAAAAATTCAGAATGTATAATCCCTGTGTTGTTTAACTCGATGTCTACGCAAAATTTTTCACTGCCCAGTGCTCCACCCTACTCCGAGACGTCCATTTTTTTTTGGCTCCGTCCGGTAATATGTTCTAACTTTGATTGCTCAGCCATTTTGAAACTTAGAACGTTCAAATTTTATATGTTTGATGTGATCACTTCTGTCAACCTTGTTATTTTTGAAAGGAATAAGATTTCCAGAATTTTATAAAATACATATTTTGTAAAAAAAAGTTTATAATTTTTAATTAAAATTTTGCGGTGCCCCCCCTATTCCAAGAATTAAGAAGCCATAATTGTACATTAATCTACAAAAGCTTAATTTATAAAATTTTAAGTTTTTCAATAAGAAATATAAGCTTTAGCTTTATAACTCTAAATTTTTGCGTTATTTCGCGAGATATACTGCGACGAAATATTCATTTTAATATATGAAAATGAGTTTAATGGGATTTCAGTTTATGAAAGTTTTGATTGGTTGCATAGAATAGTTTTTTTTTCTAACATGAAAGTTTCGAATATCTTTTGATAAAACAAACTTTCAATACCACAGTCACTCTTTAAATTAGAGAGGCAAGTCTCGAAGACAGTTGACTTTTTCACCGTCTCTACATCTTTCACCGGCATCTCTAAATTATTTAGTGCGTCCCACCATTCGCATGAACAATGAAGTTTTCCAGCATAAGTACATCTGGAAAAAAAAAGAGAAAGGAAAGGCGTGTTCGAAATAGTCTTGATTATTCACTCTTTATCATGCAATGTTTGAATTCTCAGGGAAAAAAATTCTCTCTCTCTCTCTTTTTTTTTACTTTATTTAAAACACTATCGATTTCTTTAAAACATGTAGATATTGTCAGACTCAGTTTCTTAAATCATTTATTTATCAATTTCTTTTAAAAATATAGAAATTGACAGTCCTCATTACCTCAACCAGACATTGCTGATGCACGAGAAAACAAATCTGAGGCCATTGCAACTTTCATCTGTTTCCTGTGGTAGTCGACAAAATGGCCGACATTTGGGATTCGACAAATAGCCTTTTCCCTCACTGATCAGAAGGGAGATCAGCAACAAAGGCGCCCATATGTATGTATTCCTCCCCATCACGGTACTGGTGTCACTGTCATATCTAACTTCAAGAATATAGTAAAAACTTTTATGTTTAGTTAATTAAGTGATTACATTTCATTTTCAAGTCTACGAATCAAATAATATATAAATATTGCATGTAGTTGAGTGTAACATTGAAAATTTTCACTCCAAGAAAACCATTGTCAACCGATATGCGCAGAGGTTAACAATGGTTTTGAAGGGCTGAAAATTTTCAATGTTACACTCAGGGCCTTTACATGCAATATTTATTATGCCACACTGAATGTTTTACACAAATACATATTACAGTGAACCGTGCGCGCATAAATTCCGCGCAGTCGCTATTTTTTGTAATACCACCCGTCGTCAAGCAATGTTGACTGTTGCTACGCAGGAGGGCGTGGCTTCATTATTCAGCGGGTAAAAGTGTTTTTTATCAAATGTTTCTCGACGAATCAGATTCAAGTAATTTACATGAAAGTATAATATTATAAAAGATGGGTAACTTCTTGATGCTTCATTGCAGCTCTCTCTCGATCTCTCTCATAAAGTATAGCATATATATTATAGTACAAGACTTTCTGCGTTATGTAAATATATTTGCATCCAATTTTATAATTGTTTATTTATATATTTTTGTCTAAACATATTATGCATAGGCTAATTATTTCAAAGAACAGCAGTGAGAGATTTTGTATCTTTTAACATTGTATAGGCCTACAAATTTGAAAAAAAAAAAAGATCATTGATATATTGTTAAGCAGCGATTTTTTTTTAATGCATAACTTACCTTTTGATTACAAATATCGTCCAAAAATATTTCTGATACAACCGGTGATTTTCATTTTTGACGTTAGTTTGCATAACTTGGCGGTTGAAACGTTATTGTGACGTCATTTCATTTTGTAAATATTTTACGTCACTATTATTGGGGTCGAAAAGAGTACGTAGTTTATCGAAGAAGGTGATCGGTCACATCAGATAAATTTTTCAATCAGAATCTCAAATTAATAGCATAACTTATTCCTGTACCAAATCCCTCATTAAGCTAAAACTAGCCCTTTATAAAAATTCACGGAATACGACGGAAGCAAATTGAAAGGTGTGTTGATATTGAAAGAGAAAAAAAATCAAACCCAAAAAAGGGAATTTTCGTGGGCGAGGATCACACTTCTTTCAGTATCATCCTTTTTTCCCCCCTATATTTATGATATAATGACAAAGTCAATCTGATTTAAGTCGCCTTTATGATTTTAAATTAAAATTCAAATAAGTTTTAAAATAAAATTAAATGATCAGAGGATCTGAGTAAGATACCTTTGATTTTTTTTTCTCGGAAATCCGGAATAAGTGAATCCATTCAAGACCAAGTTTGTCTTTTATGGTGCGTTGCCTATGTCCTATTTGAGTTGGTCCATGCTTGCAACGATGGTTGAAGAAAATAAAAAGAATTCCAATCTATACATAGAGGCAGCAAAGGTTCTTCATGAAATCTACGACAAAAAGGGATCAATAAAAACCAGTGTATATGGATCTACATTTCAGGTAGGGATAATTGACTGTCAATAGTGAACTGAATCAACTCGACCACAGAACAGCTGTAGGAGTTGGCAATTTTCTTATTTTGTCAGTAAAACTAAATGCATGATAAACAGGATTTATGTCTGCTTATTTTCTTTTTTACTGACAAAATTGCCGACTCCTGCAGTGTTTCCGTTAACGCATATTTCTGCGTATTTTACGCATAAAAATACTTTTCACCCCCTAGAACATCACCTAGAGGGTCATCATGACGCAGAAAAAAAAAATTATAAAAATAATAAAAAATCCAGTTCAATATTGATGACTTCGTAGAAGAAGATATTTTACAGGTTTAATTTACATTGTTGACAACTTTTTAGGAATAAATCATTGCTTTAAGTTTAATTTCAAAGTGGCAGTCATTGAAATCGGCATTTTCACGTCACAATCTATTAAATTCCTTTGTACGATCTGTCTAATTCTTAACAAAACCGGAAGTGCAGATAAAAATGGCGCTTCAGCATGTTCAGTCTAACATCGGCATATTTATATCAGCTTGGCTTTGTAAAAAAGGCTAATAATGGTAATAAAAAGGTGAGCAAAGTTCAAAACATTAATAAACAGATCTGCAAAGCATTCAAACCACTTTCAATTGTTATCTTTTGATTGAGGTATTCACGAAACCCTGATGGCATGATCGGTAAATTATGACAGTGAACCGGTAAATAAAAGAAGTATATTTTACTTTCATTTTTTTAAAAAATCAAAGATATGATTTTAGAAGGCAGAGCTGATATAAGAACTAAAAGCAAAACCGTAATATATTTTGACCCTCAAAAAATCATTTTGACTCCCAAAAGTTTACTCCAGAGGGTCATAATGACCCTTGATTGTAAAAGTTAGCAGAAACACTGTCCTGTGACTCGACCAAACTTGTCCCCATCCTCACAAGCCAGGGTCCCTCAGTCAACATGTTGCTCTTGAACCCGTGGCATATTTCATTAGGCCTAGAAAAAAAATATGTTTGTTTTCGCTTTCAGGCTGAAAAAATATAGGGAAGTTAGGTAGGCAATTTTTTTTTTTTTTGAAAAATTTTTTTTTACTTCTTTAATCAAAACGTGTATAGAAGTAACATTAATCATTATGACAAAAGAAATGGTGTTTCCAAGCATTTCTGTGACTTAAACTTATAATAGAAAGAAGACTCAAGCTTCTTTCTGTCTTGAAAAGCTTGCAAAGTTGGAGATATAATTCCCTGGGTGAAATCTTGCACTTCATGGGACAAAAGCATTTAAAAAAAATTTAGGGTCGGCACTATAAATTAGGGTCGGTCGGGAAAGCGGAAACAAACATATTTTTTTTCTAGGCCTTAGTTATTTTAGGACCTGCTTCTCTTATTGAGAAGCACCAATCAAAAAAGCTTACAAAAACAGTTAGATATTAAGGCCTAGAAAAAAAATATGTTTGTTTCCGCTTTCCCGACCGACCCTAATTTATAGTGCAGACAATAGATATTTTTTTAATCCTTTTGTCTTATGATGTGCAAGATTTCATCCAGGGAATTATAGTCTCCAACTTTGCAAGCTTTTCAAGACTGAAAGAATTTTGAGTCACCTTTCTATTATAGTTTAAGTCACAGAAATGCTTAAAAACATCATATTTTTTGTCATTAATGTTAATTCTGTACATTTTTTGATTTCTGATTAAAGAAGCAAAAAAAAAATATTTCCAAAAAAAAAAAATTTGCCTACCTACCGACCATGTATTTTTTTCAGACTGAAAGCGGAAACAAACATATTTTTTTTCTAGGCCTAATTGTAAACAAAAAGGACTCATTTGACACTTCAAATGCCAGAGTTTTTGAAAACCATCAGTCCTATTGGTAAAAACCGATAGAAAGTTGAAATGTCTGTGATGAAATTTGCTATAGAAGGGGTCTTTGTGACCGATTGTGGTGAGGGCTTGTCCTGGTAAATTATAGTCTTTTTAGTTACATGAATTTACAAGACCTTTCAGTGAAAATTCATGGGATTTCATTGAAAGTTTGCTTTAAAAAACATCCTATATTTTATCCTCATAAACAAGATAAATTCTCAAAAAATAAATCCACCTTTTGAATTGCTATATTCTTGTGATAGGACAAGCAGATGTTGTCAGCGTTGGTCAATCAGACCCTTAGATACGCTAAGATCCTGGAAACGGTCGTCAAGCGCACCAAGCTCCTGGAGAATAATAAGATACTGTGGAACGACGAGATGCTGGCCCGAGTTTTATTATATGACTTCATGATAGGGCCCGGCCTATATAGACCAGGGAGACTAAAGGTATGTTAGTTACTTAGTCTTAGTGCTGGGTATCGCGATGAAAAAATAGTATCGCAATATATTGCAATATTATATTTTGTATTGCAATATATCACGATATAAATATTTAATAATTTTTTGCTTTTCGTCAAGGTTAAATGAAAACACAAACTCAAATTTCATGTATTCTCGAGTTGATATTCCAATTGCCTGATCGCTTTATGTCGGCGCAAGCGGCAAGATAAGTTTTTTGTGGCAAAACTTGTTGAATTCAATTAAGTTGTAATACTCAGATTCAGCTTTAACATGAAGGGGTTTCATATAACAATTGTCGTTGTTTCGTTTTTGAAAGAGACATGTCTCTGTTTCTGATCACACTTCACGTCGCTTGCCGCCATATTTTACCTTGAAAAGGGCAATTAACTCTTTTTGTAACAATTTATAGCATATCGAACCCGAACCGGTATTCACAAAAAAAATACCGCGATACGTATTGTGAAGAACGAAATCGGGATACACCGGTTAACCGGTAATATCGCACAGCACTACTTAGTCTGTAACAGGAAGGGAGAAAATATATATGACTTGACCAGGAATCGAACCCGAATTTTTTACTGGTTTCTTTCCTTCTTTTTGTAGGTAGTGGTAATGAAGAATAGAGACAGTATAACCAGTGAGTTTGACAGACTGTTGACAGTTTATGGGGTTCAGCGATACGCAGATTTACCCTGCTCGACATCAGAAGGTACATTTTGTGTACATTTATATATCAATAAAGGTTGCATATCAGCATAAAATAATGATTTTTTCAAGCGATACTTATAAGCAAATATCAAATTCCCAGGTGCACCTCCAACACTCTAAACATAGACAAACATATGCTAGGAAAATCCTTACGTATTGCTCTGCTCAGCAGGTGACACAAAAATGGAATTAATTTAAAGTTTTTTTTTTAAGTTTCTGTACTGTAAAATCACATATTAGGAAGGGATCAAATTTATGTGGTTTGAGGAAAATGCATTGGTTCATGGGGATTTGAATTTGTGGTCAATGAATTGTTCAGTAGTATTATATGTGAAAAATTGCATTTTGTGGTGGACATAGATTCGTGATTCTCATCATTCCTTGAAATCCACGAAATTTAAACCCCCACAAAAATTAGTGATTTCACAGTATTTTTTTTTACACTTAGCCCTGCCGAGGTATGTTAGAGTGAACCAAATCAAAGTAACAATGGAGGAAGTGATCAAGGTGTTCATGGACGACGGATGGACATTGTTACCTACACCTGACGTAATTTTTAGCAAAATGCAATATTCACAACTACTCATTTAAAAATGCAGTGTATTCCCCTAAAATTTCAAAGCAGATTTCAAAGTAAAGCTTGAAAGATTGATTTTTACAGCTAAAGGTTGATGTTTACAAACAGAATCGCTTCCACCTTACAACAATTTTGATTTCTAAGCAGCGTTTTTATCAACTGAAACAGTCAATTTGGTTGGTGCCGGTTCTTGGGGAAAACACTGCATAAGGAAGGGTATAGGGTTAAAGTCCCTGGGAGATTATGTGATGTATTTAATCTTTTTACTTCATCTTTGGAATTTTAACCTTTCTTTTTACAAATGAGTACAGTACCTCTATCTTTCTGATGAATCACTTTCTATTTTATGACCTCTACTCTACTGTTTAATTACAGTTTTATAGAGTCCTGTAGAAATCTTGGCGAGTCTGAGTTTATAAGAGACCTCCATCTCCCTGCTTATTTACAGTTTTATGGAGTCCTCCACAAATCTAATACAGGAGAGCAAGGTCATTTTACAAGACAAGGTACAAATTAATTTGAATTTTCATTTAAAAGCCAGATTTACTTTAATGACTCCTGTATACAGGGTTATTGCGCTATTTTATTTTTGTACTTTTACACTTGCTTGTAAACATATTTGTGCCATCTCCCTGATCTGTTGGTGTTCCCTGCGTATACTGACCTCCACAACCACCACTTAGTACAGGAGAGCAAGGTCATTCTACAAGACAAGGTATAAATTAATTTGAATTTTCTTTTGAAATCCAGATTTCCTTTAATTACAAGGCCTGTAAAAAATACTTTGGTTATTGCTCCTATAACTTTTATTTTCACCCTTTTACATTTTTTTTTTTTTGAAAAAACATATTTGCCCCATTTTAGATAAGATAAAGTAAAGTTCTTTTAAGAATTTATACTGTGTTCTTTGAAAGACAAAAATTGAAAATGAAACAGTTTTAATATTGTGAAAAATTGGTGAAAAAAATAATAATAAAATGGCTAAAAAAAAGTTTCCCTGTATACAGTACATGTATTTATCCAAACAAACAATATTTTATTTTAGGCCCAATGTATTGTAATTTTAGGCCAGTTGCCTACCTGCTCATATTCTGTCACCACCAGAGGGAGCTGTTGTGGTAGATAGCTGTGCTGCCCCTGGCAACAAAACTAGTCACCTGGCCAGTTTGATGGGAAATAATGGGTGAGTTTGATTATTTTAAAAGAAAGGAGAAATACATTGTATATGATACATGTACTTCAGAAAGAAGTTTTGTTCTTTCCTTCCGCTCCCATCTGCAATGTAAATAGAAATTCAAACAATTGATAAAATGTTCAATTGAATATCTTGTACCCATTTTGAAAGTGAAGTATTGGAATTGATGTAGAAGATATAATAGCCTCTTCCTATGATGAAAACATTCCTTCATCCCTAGATAATAAATTTTAATTAAAGAAGGAACATGACTCTTGCTGGCAAAGATGACTTATTTGAAATTTCTTTTTCCAGAACAATTTATGCCTTTGAGCACAAGGCAGAGAGGATAGCCATATTTCAGGAACGTATGGAGGCAGCTGGTGTGACATGTAAAGTGGCGCGGTGCATGGACTTTCTCAGAGTAAAGACAGACAGTCCGGCCTATAAGGATGTAGAGTATGTTATGGTGGACCCTTCCTGTAGTGGATCAGGTCAGAGGTCAAAAGTCATAGGTCAAAGATCATGACTGAAAATATAATTGTAAAATGGTTTTCTCCTAGAAAAGTCTTCAGTTTTCTTGTGTGGCCATGGTAGATGTGAAGTAATATTCAGTACATGTATTTGGATATAGATCTTTGAACAAAAAAGATCTTTGTTTTTATCATGGATATAAATTGGTAAATGAGAATCATTCTGCTTTCATTCACACAAAATGTATGCATTTGTTTGAATTTAAAAGATTTTGAGATCAATCAAATATTTAAAAATAACCATTGAATTAAAATTGATATCATATGACACAAGATGTATCCAATGATATAAAATCATTTCTTTTAATTGGAAAAATACAATTTGTTAAAAATGTAAAAAATGAGATGTTCCTTTGTCCCAATACAGGCATTGTAAATAGACTAGATAACCTGACTAATGATGACTCCTCTACCACCCAGCACCGCCTGGATCAGCTCCACAAACTACAGGCCCAGATTTTACGGCACGCCTTCTCATTCCCAAACGTGAAAAAGATTGTTTATTCCACGTGTTCTGTTCATGAAGAGGAAAATGAACAAGTTTGTGAGGAAATATATAACATATTCAAGGAAAGGTAACTGACAGTGTGTGTAGATTTTCAGTTGTCGTGCTCTGTGTTGTTTCATCTTCCTAAATGCATTTATGAGATGAACAACAGAAATTCTTAAACTGAACTAAACATTTGTCCAATATCTGACAGATTTACACCTTTTATGATATCCTATCAGTATATTTATGACAGTTATAAACCTGTGAGTTGCTACACATTTCAATATTTTTCCAAGGGTTGCACCCAAATTTTACATACTACATTATGTGTATTTACAATGATATTTGAGCTGATTCAGTTTGGTTGTGATTCTTTAATTTGCTCCCCAAGGAGTAATCAGGAATAAGTTGAAGTATTTGCACTGAGTACCTATCCTGTGAGAGGGCACTGAGCTGCTGGATATCTTAATTTCCTTCCCTTCACCTGGTTTTAACCCAATAGTTATTTGGACCACTCTTGTCTAATCACTGGTTTTTAGCAATTTGGCCCACCTAGCCTATAATATTCTTTCAGGCAGATATACTCTTCTTAGCTATATCAGATGAGGCATTGACCGATTGACTGCCTAAATATCATTTTCTGTCACCTAACTACCTGTGCAGTTACTTTGTACATACATAATTATATCCATTAGTTGTCATGAAGACTTGTACTGTATTGGTATTGATCCATTAGACCAATACATGTACTATTCAGTTACATGTTCTTTCACTTGAAATTGATACATTGTTTGTCTTGAGACCTTGCTATGCCAATTGGTATTAATTTACTGGTACAATTAATCAATTTTTCCTTATCACATATTATCATTGTATTGTACATATGTAAACAAATAAAATGTCTAGAAAGTTGTTTTGTTATGGTTCAATAAAAATCTGATTTACAAAAATGCATATCTATTTTCAGATTTAAAATACAGAATGTCATGAAGGATTGGCCGGAGAGAGGAAGAGAGGGCTACCAGAAAAGTGACCATTATCTCCGGGCATGCCCAGAGAAAACACTGACCAATGGGTTCTTTGTGGCCTGTTTTAAAAGAAGGAAAGAAAAAGGGAAGAAAAGTGAGGACATTGTAATGGAAAATGAAAATGTGGAAGAGGGATATAAAGAAAAATGGAGTGAGAATGATGATGGATTGGTAAGGGATAGAGAGAAAAGGAAGAAAAGAAAGAAAGAAAAAGAGGAAGTGTTGGATGCAGAGAGGAGTGAGAGAGAGAAGGAGCAGGAAGATTGTGAAGTGGTGATGGAAGATGGAGAAGATGTCAAAGTGAGAAGAAGGAAGAAAAAGAAAATTAAAATGGAAGATGATCTCAAAAACGATATTGAAAAAGATGAAGTTAAGAACATTTATATAGAGAAAAGGGAAGATGAAGAGGTAATGGAAGAAAGTGACATTAAAAAGAAAAGAAAAAAGAAAAAAAGACAGGCAAATGATGACTTAATGGATGATGATTGTGAAAGTGACAAAGTAAAGAAAAGTAAAAAGAAGAAAAAGAATGCAGATAATGAAATAACAGTAGAAGATTGTGAAAATGACAGAGTGAAGAAAAGTGAAAAATAAAAAAACTATATGTCTGTAAATAGAAACTTAAATCTTTATAGAATGAAAGATCAGAGGTAAAACACCACTTTTTAGATCACCTTGACGAAGTCAAGATGAGCTTATTTTATACCCCCGGCGTTGTCGTCGGCGTCCCAAGTTAAAATTTTAGGAGCAAGTCCATTCCCAATTAACTATAAGCCCTACCTGAACCAAACTTGCATGGATGATGCATCTAGGGATGTACACTACCTGACTTGCTTCGGATGCTGGATCTGACCTAAATTTTCTAGATGAATGACCAGGTTAAAGTTTTTGGAGCAGGTCCATTCTCAAGGAACTATAAGCCCTACCCGGACCAAATTTGCATGGATGATGCATCTAGGGATGTACACTACCAGACCTGCTTCGGATGCTGAATCTGACCTTCATTTTCCAGATAAGTGACCAGGTTAAAGTTTTTGGAGCAGGTCTATTCCCAAGGAATTATAAGCCCTACCTGAACCAAACTTGCATGGATGATGCATCTAGGGATGGACACTACAAAACTTACTTCGGATGCTGGATCTGACCTATATTTTCCAGATGAGTGACCAGGTTAAAGTTTTTGGAGCAGGTCCATTCCACAGAAACTATAAGCCCTATTTGGACCAAACTTGCATGGATGATGCATCTAGGGATGGACACTACCAGACTTGCTTCAGATGCTGGATCTGACCTACATTTTCATTCCCAAGTAACTATAAGCCCAAGCTAAACCAAACTTGCATGGATGATGTATCTAGGGATGAACACTACCAGACTTGTTTCGGATGCTGGATGTGACCTACATTTTCATTCCCAAGTAACTAAAAAACCCTAGTTAAACCAAACTTGCATGGATGATGTATCTAGGGATGGACACTACCAGACTTGCTTCAGATGGGGGATCTGACCTACATTTTCATTCCCAAGTAACTATAAGTTCTACCTGAACCAAACTTGCATGGATGATGCATCTAGGGATGGACACTATCAGGCTTGCTTTGGATTCTGGATCTGACCTATATTTTCCATACAAGAGACCAGGTTAAAGTTTTGGGAACAGATCAATCCGAATGAACTTGAAGTCTTTGATATCTGCAGTATTAACAAAGTTATGAATATTTGTTTACATTATACATGTTTTTCACGCAAAACCCGTAGAAATGTGTATATGCCATGTAAGGGGTTAAATACAACTTGCAAGAATATTGTTGTTGGGATGAATACTAAATACCGTCTTAAGAAAATATGATGTCAGATTTGCATTACTTAAACTGATAACATTCATCTAGGTGAGCTTCATAATCTTTGATTACCTATGTTTAGAATAGTAAAAAGGCAGATTAATACACCAATGTAAAACGATGATATACAATTAAAAATGAAATCAATATAATATTATATATTAATATGTTTTTATGCTTGTGCTATAAAATTGACTTCCTTTACTGCCATTTAGTCAAGCTCTCTTCTCCTGATGCTAAAATACAGGAACACATATTGGCCAATGTATTATAGAATCATGGTCTTCCTAGGACTTTAATTTATATTTTTATTACTGTAACTTTTAACCTGTATTTGTTTTAATAGATACACCTGTGTGAAGATGAGATGTATTATGGTTTGGATTCATTTCTGTCCATATATCTGTCCGTTAGCTTTTTCATGTCAGCTAGGCTCCTTATTAAAATATTACATAATAATATGAGGCATAGAATTACCCCGGTATCAAATTTTCTCAGTGGATACATCGTGAACAGAAATTGTGTCGTACATTTAAATATGATAGACCATCAAAATCCCGTCTAAAACTATATGAACTTAACTAAAAGACTGTTAGCCCATGGTAGAATCTTCAAGTTTTGTCAATGCACCTTTACTTGAAAATGTAAATTGCATTGTACTTAAAGAAGAAATTAGAAAAATATTGTATTTTAAAAGTTTCATCTTTACAGTAGCTGTAAGAAATATGATGACCTTTGGAAAATTGTTAAATGAAGGAAAAAATACGCATTTTTAGCTCTTCTGAGCCAAAGCTTCAAAGAGCTATAAATGCTATGGCCATATGTGAGGTGTGCGCTAACTTTCTGGAATATGGGCCATAACTCAAGAACCCCTTGGCCAATCATTGTCAAATTTGTCACAGGGTATCCTTGGCTGAAAGCCGCCTCATGTTTATTGTATAATTTACACAGCTATATAGTATTTCCATCGTTTCAATAACAAGAGAAATACCAACTGTCCCAAGCCTGCAGCAACGGTTTCCCCGGAAACCCGTTAACCCTTATCTGACCAAAAATTAGCTGTAGGGAGCAATTTCCCAGAACCATCTTGCAAGCAAAATTAAAATTTAAAGAACCCACACCCCAAATCTTTGAATTTTCCAGTAATCGACCTTGCAGCAATATTTACTGTGGCGGTGGTGGTGGGGGGAACCAGTAATTGACTATACTCAGAAACAAAGTGCATTGTAACTACCTTTAAAGATTTGTCCCTATACAAATCAATACGAAAAGCCTAACAATTGTAATGTTTTGCTGAGCGGGCATAAAAAATCGATGTTGGACCGCTGAGCGAAATGTCGGACCGATCGATGAGATGTTGGACCGCTTACGTCACAAAATGAGCGGAGCTTAATCTCATTTTCATTCGTTGGTGTTCAAAAGTGACGGACCCTAGATGATATCACGAAAGAATAACAAAAAATTAAAATGAAGGGTATAACAAAACATTTATTGACTATGTTCTCGGACAAAAAGCGTTTTGTCGACCCTCGAACCAAACTGTCTGCCTTCAGCCTAACAGCCGTTTGGCAGTCAGTTTGGTTCTTGGGTATGACAAAACGCATGCTACCCTCGAATTTGGTCAATAAATGTATAATGTTGCCCCCTCGTTCAACGAACCTGTTGTCCTATTGGTTTAAATTATACAGCGATGGAGTTTCTATACTGTTCAAGGTGGGTCTGTTGCATCTGTCAAATTATAGTCAAGTAATCTACATGTAAGTCTAATGAAATCAGGTTTGTAAGATGATTTCTAGTAGATCATCTTTGATAAAAGCAGTTGAGAAATCATATAACTAAGTAGATTAGAGTAAAGAACTAGTAAAAGTCTAGAAAAATTTATCTAATTTCTTGGCGTTTTACTGAACATTATCGTCTCAAGCCACTCTCTCTTTGTTTATTTTACTAATTCTACAGATTTACATTCATATTATGATTAAGTGTCTCGCGCCCTTTTATTATTTTTTAAATGTACATAAGAGTAGCTATTTTTAAAAACAGCTAATAACAACAAGACGCGATCAATGGCTTATGTCACGTCTATTGTAAACAAGGTAAACTACTTCCTCTTTCGGTATTATTTTCTGTGCATATTCTAAACTCTAAACCTGAAATAATGCACAATACTAAACTTTCTACTTTGTTCCAAATTAGCCTCTCATTAATGTCACATGAAATTATGTTGTTATCTAATTCTCTTTAGCTGTGCACAATAAACGGTGAATCGATTCAAGGACGTATGTATGGCACGCCAAATTCACAAAAATGAGCTAAACCTAGTTTCACAATTGATAAACTAGGTTTATCGACTGTAAACTATAGTTTACAAATCGTTAACTATAGTTAACGATTCGTTAAGTATTGCTTTCATCTGTGAATCTATATTTAACGGTTGTAAACTATAGTTTACGAATACTGATCTAAGTTTATCTGTCTGTAATAAAACGTTAACACTAGAATTTGTTGATAAACAAATGGCGAATTTGTTTCTAAAAAACTGGGTTTAGTTTTGAACCAGTTTTGTAAACTTCATTTGTTCCACAAACTGGTTTTAAACTAGTTTAAACCCAGAATCGGATTTCCATTTGTTTTGGCTGTAACTGAAACCAGTTCGCTAAACCAACCAAACCACCTCCGATGGTGGTTTATTCGGTTTACGAAAGAGCGGGAAGTATTCAAATATGGCGGTGATGAAAGATGGTGACTATTCTAATAAAGAAATAAGGTTATAAATAATTGTTTTTTCGAGGACAAACAACTTATTTGACCAAAATGCCACATTCTGATATTTGCATGATGTTTTATGTATTATCAGTATAAGGCTTCAGAGAATAGAGAAATACTGCATATTGAAAATAATGGTGTTTGTTCAATAATAATGAGCAGAATATGTTAAATTTTCCTTTTCAAAAATAAGTTTTGAATCATTTGAACAAACTTCAACATGAATGGTAAATTGTAGAACATACTGTAAAGACAGCTTAAATATTGGAAATCTAAAGAGTATAACTATAAATACCCGATTGTTTATCTTTCCATGTGTAAAAAATGTGGAAATTGTTCATTTGATTAATCTTTGGAGCATTAAAAACATAAATACTACACTTAAACTATAAGTAAGATAATTAAAGAATATAAATACATTATAATTTCTTGGATTCTTTTATTAAGAAAAAGATTTTAACAAATTTATTTACATGTAACTATGTTGTTCTGCATCTTTTTGACACCATCTTGTATAAACTGTTCATTTGTTTTACCGAGGTAAACCGGATTGAAATTTAAACCAGTTTGAAAAACTAGTTTTAAACCTTAAACCAAAACCTGAACCAGTTCGTGTGCAGCAAATTCGCCCATAGATTCACGTCGTCTGTAAACTATAGTTTACGATCGTTAACTATAGTTAAGAGTTATAAACCATAGTTTACAAATCGTGAAACTGTATTTATCAGATAATCTATGTTTTGCAATCGCAAATGATTGTTTTCAGTGTTAAGTATAGTTTACGGTTGTGAAACATAGATTATCGCGTTAACTATGGTTTACAGATGTAAAATATAGATTAACGTTGTTAACTATAGTTTACAGTCCGTAAACTATAGTTTACAAGCGATAAACCTAGTTTATCGATTGTGTAACTATGATTAGCTCATTTTTGTGAATTTGGCGTGCCATACACGTATGCACTTTAGAATATGCTGGTGAATCCGCCATATTTGTTTTAATGTGTAAAGGTCGGATTGTTTTTTAAAGATAGCTTTTTAAAGTCTTCTAGTGGCAAAGAAATGTGTTCAGGAACAGTAGACTTGACAACTTCCCATCATGCCAATGGAACGTAGCAGGAGAAATTTTTATTTCTGGATCTTGATTACAACGTTAACACTGGCACACTGGGTGGTGGAATGTGTAAGTTTATATCATGATTACTTAAATTTATTGGAATGTTAAATATTACTTAAACAAAAATGTATATATATGTATAATGTGTTAAGGAAGCTTTAAACACTGCACACTACAGAACTCTATTTAGAGTGTAGTTTTATGCAGTTAGAGTGATCTGCCCTTAAAACTAAGATTTTAAAAAATGTTATTTACAGTTAATTAAAGATGATTTTTAATAGATTCAAATATGTATAGCATTAGAGAAGACCAAGAAAAAGTATTTGAATTCATCATCTTCATTAATTTTCTTATGGTAAATTAACAACTGTTTTTTACAGTGATCTCTGCTCACAAATAGACCATTGTCCCTGGATATTTTTCCTGTGGAAATAAGGCAGGTGCCTTATGTATCGAATAAATGAATTTGCTTGAATGTGCACACTTTATATAATATATTTTTCTGCAAGTCCAAAAAGCAGCATCTGTTAGTGTTTAGAGCTTCCTTATGTTAAAACTTGATGCCAAAATTTCGGCTCTGCTGATAAATTGGAACAGTTAAACTGTGGACGTCTCATGAAAATGACAAGCTATATAAGACCATTTTATGGTAATTGTGATACTGCTCTTTTGCAGGGCAAGATGATATAGTATGGTGAAATATGACGTAAAAACAATTGTTCAAGATATGTCATTTAATTGTGTAATTATCTATCAACTAACATTTTGCCAAATATTATTATTTTGCCCTGCAGAAGAGTAGTACTGCAGTTATCTTGAAGGTATTTGAAGTGAAAGTTGCGGGTCCATCGGATGAGACCTTAAAAACAGAGCCCCTGTGTCACAGCAGGTGTTAACACGATAGAGATCCCATACTGCTAAAAAGCCCCAAGCCCCAATCTTTTTCGTGCCAGTACCTACTGCGACATGGGACCTCAGTTGATACGGTCTCATCCGAATGATATGTCTCCACGTCCCACACTGGGATCCGAACCCTTGATGTAAGGATCCTAGCTTATTCCGCGACTCCATGGCCAGATCAGACGCTCTAACCACTGCACGACGAGGGCTGTATAAATACGAAGAGCAAAGTGATTATTCTTACAATGAATTTCATCACTCTAAAAAAAGTTTTACTAAGTAATTTATATTTACTTAAATTTGTGTATGTAAGTAATAACCTATTACTTGGTTTTTACTTACAGTTTACCACTAATTACTAGCTATTACTAAAATGTTTTTAAATTGCTATATTTAATTGTTTTACTTAAAACAATAAAGTATTTACTGCATCAAGGAGGATTCAGAGCAGCTGCAGTACAAATTACTTAAATCTGGTAGTCTAATTACTATATATATACTATAACGAAAAAAATAAAGGATATTTCAATCCTTGTGAAAAAACTTTAACCTTGGCCATTACTTTTGAACGATAAGGGATAGGGCTTTCATACTTACATACATGTATATGTAATTCCTGTGAGAAGACCATTCATAGGATACCAAGAACTTTGTTCCTTTGACATTGACCTTGGAGTCTGACCCACTTTTAAAAAGCAAACCTTGACTTTAACTTTACAAAGGTTGGGGTTAGTGCATTCATACTTTATATATTTCATCCTTGTGGCAAGACCTTTGGGTACCACCAAATCTGACCCTTTGACCTTGGAGTTTGATCTACATTTCAAAGTTGGTAAACTTGACCATAACTTCTGAAGGGTTGGGGTTAGTGCTTTTATATTTCAGATATGTATTTTTTGTGGCAGGACATTTCATCAGATACCAATAACATTTACCTTTTGACGTTGACCTTTGAGATATCAAGAATTACCAATATATTGAATTTGCATATAAGAAAAGTAAAACCTTTGCTATGTTGCCATATGGGGGCATTAGTGTTTCACAAACACATCTTGTTTGAATTGTATTCAATTGATTTACTTAAAACAATAATTTATTTACTGAATCAAGGAGAATTCAGAGCAGTTGCAATACAAATAATTACTTAAAAATGGTAGTCTAATTACTATCAGGATTGAATTCTTAGATTGTCATATTAATTGTCTGTGAGGAGGAGTTATCTTTCTTTCAAATATTCCTTCATGTAAAAAAAAAAGTTATACTAATTAAAATGCTGTATTAAGTACTTGAAACTTTAAACCATTTTAAAAATGGTCCTTAAGTATATACAAATTATTCAATATAGAAGGTTTTGATGTTGGAATTAAATGTTTTATTGCTAAATATAATAAAACAATTACAAAGAAATAATGTCGATTTTAGTAAATATGATAAGTATTTCATTTACTGAGTATCCTCCTAAGTAATAATATTCTAGATTTTAATTAATTTCAAAATTACATTTACTTAGTAACAATTCGTAAAACCTAGTAAATAGAAAGCATATTATCTCTAAATTAAATAATAATGATTTACTAAATTGAGTAGTTCATTTACTAAGTATTATAATTCCTAATAAGTATTGATACTTAGTAAATCATTTTATAAGTAAATGAATTTATCCTTATTACTAATCATGTTTACAATTACTAACAATGATAGCCATTTACTTGCTATTCTGACTAAATGGATTACTAATAATTACTAGTTTTTCTTAATCTAATATCTTATTTTAAAAGCAACAAGTAAAACTTTTTTAGAGTGATGGCCCATGAGTCAGAGGACCTAGTCTTAGGACGGTTTACTGATATTTAAAATACATAAAGTATTTGAAAAGATTCTTCTCTACTACAAGGTACATGTAATCAGCAAATGAATTCGGTGTGAAAATGATTATTAATCAATAGATCCAAGGGCCATAATACTAACTTCAGTTAATAAACTCCTTCATTCGCAGATTTTCTCTTTATGCAATACTATGATCCCTGTTGTGATCCATTCCTATTTCTTTTGTGATCACCAGGTTTGTAGTGTTCGTCTCTTCATCTGTCTGTCTGCCCCTCCCCATGTAAACTAGGGGCGTGCTCTGCGTATGAGCAGTTTCTCAAACGAGGTAAATTGTTGACAAGCAGGTTGATGGGACGAGAGTATCGGCGGTCTCGTTTGGGGTCATCGTTTCGTGGGTTCTATGGTCGATGCAGTGACCTTGTCGGCGGATGCAATTTATCGTTGGGTCGGGTGCTGACTGGCATTTTTTGTACCGATTGTTAGTCCATTATTTATACACTGAATTGACGACGGATTTTTTCCGTTGTTTCCTGATCATGACAATGCACACGATGAAACACACCCTTTAAGTCCGGCTTAATGGTGGCTTATAGGTCCTTAATGGTGGTTTAATGGTTGTCTTTAAGTCACCATTAAGTCACCATTAAGCACCTTTAAGTAACATTTACACCATCATTAAGTTACCATTAAGCCAACTCAAAGTCCTTAATGGGTGCTTAGATGTAGCTTAATGGTAGCTTAATGGTGGCTTACAGGTCCTTAATGGTAACTTTTAGACCACCATTAAGTCACCATTAAGCTACCATTAAGCTAGACTTACAGGTGCTTAATGCCCAAACTCCATTAAGCTACCATTAAGCTACCATTAAGCCACCATTAAGCCACCATTAAGTCACATAACGCAGTCCATAATATTGTTTATATGGGTGAAAAATTATTTTTATAGTGATTTTTTATCAATGTTATAAATGTAGAGTTCGCTTACATCTTGATTTGGTAAAAATAATGAAAAAGAACGAAATTCAAAATAAAAAAAAAAACAAATACGCCTCAGTTGGGGCGCGATCCATTGACGTTAGGGTTACGAGGCGAACGCCTTATCCATTAGGCTATCGCTCTTGATTATGTGAGGAAAATATTAAATATTTAACCTTTATTTTTTTTCAAAATTTGTTTTGGCTTGTAAAGGTATTTACTAGTATTTTGTTGAACATTTCCAAAAGTCTTGAATTGATTCATTAATCAAATTATAAAGAATTTTATTTGTGGATCTTAACACATTAATATATATTTCTACACTGAGTTCGGCTTTTAGATTGATGTAATGTACAATGTAATAGAGTTTTTCGCTCTGTACGAAAATTTTCGAAATGTAAGCATTAAATCATGATTGAAAATAAATTAATTATAGATAAAACACAAAAGTCTATCATCGAAAAAGAAAGAGGAAAAACAGATTCTACTATTATTTTTAATATACTGCAGATATTAACGGTTTCTGTGTCAACAATTTAGTGACAATCCTCGCGTAAGAGTTACAATGTACCTGGTTAATTACGTTTACAAAAACTTTTTTTAGAATATCATATTCAGTTTCAATTCTTTTTGTATCATAATGGGTATCAAATAATTGACTTTTTACGATGAATCATAATTTTTAATTTGTTATATGCTTGCGTTAAATTTAAATTTTTTTAAAAAATAATTGATCATTAAAATCTGTCAGTGTACGTTGTGTATGTATAGTTTCCTGTTAGTTAACCGGGGACGGGGGACACCTAATTAAGGTCTATTGTCTCACCAGTCAGTTTACTGTACACTGATCATCTGTTAATCTTACCCCGTTCCTCAATGTGTATATATACATCTGGTCGGATGTCATGTTTAATCTGATCGGCCGTTCCTCTGAAAATCGATTTTGAAATAACAATCATTGAAGACCGACTAGATTTTGACAGATACTTACCGCTGCATTATTAAAAACAGAATAACGAATTAATTAGAAATTATTCATGATGTAAAAGCCTTTAAAAAGTTTTTCATGGTAAAAGTCAATCTTTGAAAACTAAACATTTGTATACCAGTAGCCCCCCCCCCCCCCCCCCCCCCCCCAAAAAAAAAGGACAGAGATTTTTTTTCATGAGATTATATAGTTATATTCCTGTGAATTCTGTAGCGGAATGTTTCTTTTAACACATGAAATAAAAATACCATTTTGTTTTTAAAAAGTAATATATATTTTGTGTTCATGGATATAGATAATTTTAAGAACAAATTGATTTTTGGTATAATTGTAAATTTAAAATATTTCACAAGGACTTGCTCAGTGTGTAATAATT